AAAAAACAGAAAAAATGAAAAAGAGTGAACGAGACATGTCTGCTCATCAAATAACACCAGGCAACAACTGTTTTCACAGATTTTATATGTTAGTGGGTAAAGTTTGAAGTGGTGTTTTACTTTTCTTACGGTAGTCATGGTGTATTGCGGTAGGTAGATTAACAAAATGTTGGAATCTTGTGAATTATCGTAAGATAATTAGTATCGTAATAATCATATTAACCCACCAACAACATTGATATGACCCATATAGAATTCAAAAAGTAAAGTTAGACAAATTAATAAGAAGACTGATAAACGATTATACTCCATTTCGTACCAAATATTGAAGATGAAAATATTTGTAATCATAAATTCACTGTTTTTCAAATTATTCCAAATTTTTTACAATGGGTCCAATTCAGCCTGAAATTTCGTATATTGAGTTGAGGAATATTTAAAGTATTTTCATAATGCTAGGCATATTTTACTACCGAAGTGACTATACTTTGAGGTTATAGGTATGGTGGAGCGTACAATGTTCATTAAAGGCCCATATAAACGGCCCGCTTTATTTTCCATATTTTCGTGCTTCAGGACATATTTTCCAAGCGTTATAGCTATTGGAATGCTTTTAGGATTTTCAGAGGATATAAATATTCTTGACAGAAATTGTTTAATAGAGGTCAAGGTTTTAACGGAGACTAGAGTAGTTTCGGCACTTTTTGCTTGTGGCTGGTTATTGTTCTTTGATACATAATTGTAAAAACTCGTACCAAAAATATATGGTAAATCAGTATTAGTTAAATATTTTTACAATTTCGTCAAAAAAAGTCATATTTGTCGAAGGTGTACCTAACCGGGTAAGCTTCGGCATTTGATGGAGCACAACCATCACTCATAAGCATACCCACATAATTATCATGATTATAATTATATGGTTAGAATTTATATTCATTTAACGTTATATATTTTGTTTCAGGCTATATATGGCGGACGTTGACGTCCCTAGATAACATACAACATCAGAAACATTATTTTACACCGTCAGCCTTATGGCTAATGAGGGTATATACACATTACCAAAAATGTGCCTCGTCGAAATATTGCTTTTAGACCCTAGGTTATTTTTGGTCCCAATCCATTTTAAATAATTTGGAGTCGATTTACAAATATCCGTCTATCTATCTGGCTGGTGCGCACGATAACTCTCGAAGGAAGGATGCGATTTCTTTGCACATCATAATTTTTCTTTTAAACTTCTTCTGGAATCTCCTCTACAAAATGGTCAAAATTGTGCTGAAAATTTATTTTACAATATCATGTGAACGGACTATCCGATTTACCTAGCCTAGACGAGTCCGATATTGGGACCCATTGGTCCACTACTTCTGGTACATCCCACACCAAGACTGAACATTTTCAATATTTATAAATCAAATATTAGGCTAATGGAATTTCCGATTTCTACCAAAACTTTGCAAATCATGTTATCGATACCAAGCCTTGGACAAGTCCGATGTTGGGACCCATTGATCGACTACTTCTGGTACCTTCCACACCAAGGCTGAACATTTTCCATATTTATAAATCTAATATTAGCCTAATGGAGTGTCCGATTTTAACCTAATATTACACAACCTATTTTCGTTACCAAGCCAATATCGAATATCGAAAATGGGAGCCATGGGTCCACTACTTCTGGTACATCCCCCACAAAGGGTCAAGATTTTATTAACTTGTAAATGTAAACCTTTTTTATACGAGTATAAAGCGAATAACAAATTTTCGGAGACCTCCGCAAAACCATAGGCTTCGGGTAAGTGTCTGTCGCTACTCCTTTCCTTGTGGAGAACCTAACGAGAACCCAACATATTAAATTACATCCTATAAAATAAAATATCAAAAAGGGGCAGGTGTACCGTTACATGAGGCTCTGTCAAAACATGGACCGATATATTCCATATTAACCAACAAAACTATATCTTAAATAATGCCAGCTCTATTGATGCGATCAAGAATATATATTCATAAAAAAATTGGATCCCCGAAGTTCAAGATACCTTCAAAATACCGAATATTGAGTTTTATGGGTCCTATAGCAAAACGTAGACTCATATAACCCATTTGCAATGCCAAAGAACCTAGGAGTGATAGGAAAACTGGATGGACCTTTATATGGGTCCTGTATTAAAACAAAAGATCTATTATATGTTGGCATACATATTTCCAAACCCCCGAAGTTCAAGATACCTTCAAAATACCGAATATTGAGTTTTATGGGTCCTATAGCAAAACGTAGACTCATATAACCCATTTGCAATGTCAAAGAACCTAGGAATAATTGGAAAAATTTTTAAAGCTCTATTTATACCCTACACAACTATGTTGTCAGAGTATACTAGCTATGTATGACCGCGACATATTGAACCTGGACCCATCTTTTAGTATACCGATCATATTCGACTAGCAAAGTCGATTTAGGCATGTGTGTCCATCCGCCTCGCAGGCCACAGTTATGGATCAATCGTCACGAAATTTTGTATGTAGGACGGGTTCGTAATGACCGATTAATATTTAGGTGATGAAATAAACGAAAAAAAATTAATTTTTTTTTTGTTTTTCAGGTGGCTGTAGAGGCCAAAATTGTGTCCCGAACATCACGAAATTTTAGGCAGAGAAAGGGATCCGGCCATAGAATAAACAAGAATGTTTTGATGACGATCGGCCAATATGGACCCAAAAATACTAAATCTCTATTCTATGACGTATATATTGACTTCTGAAGGCCATAGACCCGAGAAGTTGATAGTTACCACATTAAGAGAGTAAATTTCACGCTGATGGCTGAAAAATTTAACATGTGGTTCCGGTTGTGGCCAAGAACGACGCCTATAATTTTCGATGATGATGAGATGATATTTCGGGATGAAATGGACCGACAATTTAATTTTTGTCCGGTTATCTGATCGCCCTGATCGCCTTAGGTGTGTCAACAATAATGTGCATTTCTTCCTTCAAATCATTAATGATACGTGCCAACAAATTTGAATGGCTGTCATGATAATGAATGGTCAATATTTAGCGGGTCAAATGAAGCAACACATTTTTGTGTAAAATAACAAAATTTGAATCTTATGGTACGTTTACATTTAACCGGATTTCGTTAACCCAAGGGATTTCAATTGTCAATTCCTTTGCATATATGTATCTCAAATAAATCTTTATAAAGTAGGTTAACCCGGTAAAAAGTTCTAATGTATATGAAGTTTTATGGAGTAATTTTTAATTCCGGGAAAAGATACCGCATATAACCTGTTGACCGCTAATCAATTAAGACAGTGCAAATATCGCAAAATATTGCCCGGACATGCGCATGTATGTTACATACAAATGCACATAGGCATAATACCTTGTATCACAGTGTGGTGTAGGGTATAATATGTTAAGCTTGATTATAAACCTACAAACAAATCAAACTCACCACACTTTATCGTCATTATCATCGGCATTAACTTGCGAGCAGATCCACAAACGTCAAATGTTGGCGTTGGCGTAGCATTAAGGCTGTTGCTGCTGCTTTTTGGGGGTTGCTTGAGTGGTTGCGATGAACAACAACAACAACACAAAAACATTAACAATGAGTGCTCAACAACGATACCGCGAAGACTCCACAGAGCTCATCAGCATCACCGTGAATACTTTACTAAGCGAACTTCTGTCGTGCCGAACACATCGTTCATAGCTAGATAGCGCATAATTCACAAGCGATAGTCGAAGAAACAAACTCAGTGATAAAGTGATAGATGTTATTTTGGGAATCAATTGATAAACATTACAAAATTAAAAATCAATAAAAAATTGAAACGGAAATTGGCAAAATAAAAATTTATTTTTTTGGAAACTTTTAGTGGAAACTATAATTTGTTAACCAAAAAAATAAAAGAAAAAACGTGACCATCATTTTTGTTTCTTTCTCGACAGAAAGAATATTTCGAAACATTAATTGTGTCCCATAGTTTCAAAATCTATGCTGCAGTCTCAAAAAAAAAGATGAAACAAATGATGCTGACAGCACACTAAATGACAAACATCACGAGCTAATGTTTGCATTTAAAGACAACAACAACAACAACCAATGATTATTGCAAATCGTTGAACAAATCGCAGTGTTATTGTTGTAGTTGGGGTTACATTTTAAACGATTGGCAATTTGAAATGAAAATTTAAATTTATGTTCTTCTTCGTCGTCGTAACAAAACAAATCATCGTCGTGTGTCATCTTGGTACAGACATAAGTTTTTTTGCCATTTTTTTTTTTCAAAAAAAAAAAAAAAAAACTTTCGGAGTATATCATGACTTTGTAAAACTCCACATGTTGCAATAGAAGACAAAAAGCGTAACGAAAGAAACACTTCAAGATTTGTTTCAAAAATATACATCTGCCGAATAAGGCTGTATTCACTCAAAACATTCACATCATTTGGTAATATTCGAAAAAAAATATATACAAAAGTGAAACATTAGCAAACACTAATTGCTTTGGGATTAACACAAACATACATACAAATAAACATCGTTAGTGGGCTAACAATTAATCAGTGATAAACAAGATTATAACAACAACTACAATATTGAGGCTTACTACCACCCGCTGCCCCATCAAAAAAAAGGTACTGAATTATTGAAAAAAAAACAACAACTCCGATCACACGCGCGGTCACTTCATTAAAGAAGATTACCTCCAATACCAGCCACCAAAGCAACAGCTGCAGTGGCAGCAACATCATTGTTATCAACTCCACCACCACACTTTGCCGTCATTATTAATTGAAATTGGAATTATTGCCATTGTTAATTACTGATCGGATCGGATCGTATTGAACAAATGTCATTTTTGTGTGAATTGTAAACAACATCCCAAAAAAATAGACGTGCAATTGAAACATAAAAAAATAAATAGTTGGTATTCTTTTTTTATTCAATCATTTACTCGTTAACCATATATCGCAGCCGCGACGACGACAACAACCACAACAAGAAACTATTTTGAAAATGTTGTTTTATCTTTTTAAATTGTTGGCCATCAGCACTTCGTTGGCAGCAGCAACATCGACACATGGCGCCGCACTCGAACACAATCCCAAAGTAAGTGATTTGTTTCATTTTTTTCAACTCTTTTGTTTTGTTTTAATTACTATTTGGAAATTGTTTTACAAATTTAGGTATTTAATTTTTTAACACCTCAGAGCGAATTAAAACAATAATTTCACCAATCAATTAAATTTCAATTAATCTAAAATATAGGGTAGACTAGGGAAAATAATTTGTAATACTTTTGAGGATTTCAGTCGAAATCGGAAAAAAATCTTTCTTCTCTTTCAAATCAAAATCAGCCTTAAGGGGAATACCACCACCCCCCCCCCCCCCCCCCCCCCTTTATAAAAAATATTTTATAAAAACCTACGTCTTGAATAGACCTTTGTAACCGATTGAATTAAAAGTTTTTGAGTCATCGTACCCGCCAAAATTATAAACACATTAAAGTGCAGAAAAACGCTCTCGCGTTTTTAAAACCGAAAACTGGGGGTGCATTTTTTGTGTTTTGGTAAAGACAAGATTATTAGGTTTTTAATGAGCCAATAAAAATCTGCTTGAAAAAGATGTAAGAACAAAATATCTATGAATGGGTTGCAGTTATATGAAGGCTACCAAAACACGGGTCGATATTGATAATTTTTGGTACAAGTTAAAAAATACACCCCAAGTCAGTTAAAAAACATGCCCAAAATCTCAAATATTCCGAATATAGGGGGATACAGGGCTATCTCGCAACTTGATACGGATACGTGGTAGACAATAAAAACCCTAAATACGAAATTTCAGACAATTTGGATGAAAAACGTGCCCAATGCATTGAAAATATGATATGGGGGCTATAGCTAAATGTGAACTGATATATCCCATCGGCATTACCAAACATCAATCCAGATGTAATAGCAATGTCTGGTCAAGAATAATGTGTGTTAAGTTTCAGATTTAGATATAGCGCTCATAATGTAAATGGAGCACCAAAGTCAATATATATATCTTTCGATTTGCGCGAAATTCGGCATAGGATACTGAATTGGGTCTAGACTAATGTATGTGAGGTTTCCTGAAAATTGGTTCAGATTTAGATATAGCTCCCACATATATTTTCCTCCGATTTAATGTAAATGGTGTACCAAAGTCCTTATATATCTTTCGATTTGCACGAAATTTTTCACAGCGTAATGAATTAGGTCTTGAATGATGTGTGTTAAGTTTCCTGAAAATCGGTCCAGATTTAGATATAGCTCTCATATATATTTTCGTACGATTTAATGTAAATGGTGTACCAAAGTCCCTATATATCTTTGTGTGTTAAGTTTCCTGAAAATCGGTTCAGATTTAGATATAGCGCCCATAAAGTAAATGGAGCACCAAAGTCAATATATATCATTCAATTTGCACGAAATTTGGCATAGCATAATGAATTAAGTGTAGAATGATGTGTGCTTAGTTCCGTGAAAATCTCTTCAGATTTTGATGTAGCTCCTATAAATGTTTTCTTCCGATTTTATGTAAATTGTGCACTAAAGACCCAAATATTGTCCGATAGCCACACAATTTTGTATCATGAACATACACATACTATGAATATACATCATACCATGAACATCTACATATATATATTTTCGTCCGATTTTACACAAAATTGACACAAATTGTACACAATGTACTGAAGTTATTATAACGTAGAATTTGGATATAAATGCTGCACCAAGGTGGGTCCGATTTTTAGTACATGATGTACAAAGAACTTAAAATGTAACCGATATGCACAAAACATACCGAAATTAGTATAACTTAACCTGTGACAAGTTTCGATGAAATCGGTTTAGAAGTCGATATAGCTTTTATATGTATTTTGGTCCGATTTGTAGTAAATGGTGCACCAAACTACTCATGTTTATGCAATCGGACACCCGGATTGATATTTGTTTAAATTGATTTACATAATTTTGTCCCATTGTAAGAAGCACCTCTATATCTGACCAAATGAGAAATTTAGTATAGGTTGCAGAATGACATTTTTATGTATGCATTTTCATGTTAATGGTCCTTCAAAAATACGATGTCTGTTCGGATTCATCTGTTGAATATACCCAAAGTGGTGAAGGGTATCATATAGTCGGCCTCGTCCGACTTTACTACTTTCCTTACTGGTTTTCCTAATAAAAGTGTATGTTTTAATCAAAATATGTTGTTTTTTAAATATCTTATGGCGTGTGCTATTTAAAGTATCCGCGAATATAGCGACAGATATTCATTATCATTCATTCTATTAAAATATACTTAGTTTTTTTTTTTTTTTTTTGGACAATTCAAACATTACAAATTAACAACAACATGTTATAAAACAATTAACTGTAAACAGGATATAAATATATGAAGAAATGGAAGAAAAGAAATGTCTATGAAAATATTCATAATAACTGTGCTATGACTTGACTTGTCATCACTGTATAAAATGCATTAAGTGGATCCCCCATTCTCAGTTTCAAAAAATTGCATTTTATTGTTTTATTATACTTGTGTTTATAAAGTATGTTGCTTAAGTCTTTCGATTATGTGGCATTTGTTATAATGATCAAAGAAAAGTCCTTATTTTTGATGGCGGGCATGATAACTCCTCACTGGAACATCGGAATCCGAAAATTCCAACGGTGTTAGAAAGAGTACATGTCTGGCTCTGGTATGAACTAGGATTATTGACTTCGCACAACAATTAACAAAATGTCGGAACTTTGAAAATTTTTTTTTTTTTTTTTTGGGAAAATCGCATATTTTTTACCACAAACTAAGTTAAAAAATAAGGAAGTTCTTCTCCGATTGGCTTTATCCTAGTTCATACGAGAACTATACACTCCCAGAGAAACGTGTCAAACGCCCATGTGACATGTTCCGAGAGTTTTTGAATTCCCATACTTTTTTAAATTCCCATGTTGTGCAAAATGGTGTGCTCAATTTCGAGCGAAATTGCGGCTCGAAAGAATAGCTGTGTTCAATATGTTACGAAATGTGTTCAATAAAAAAACATATGTTTCATTGGAATTTGCACTTTGTTAAAAGGAAAATAAAGAAAAAATATGCCTGCTGGCTTATTAATTGCCCTGGTTTCTACCAGAAAAAGTCTAATGATACTGGAACGTGTTAAAATAAGCATTTATGGATATTTTGAGAGAAGATGGTCCTTTCATACACAAGGGTACCATTCCCGAAAGCCTGCAGTTAGCAGATACCTTAAGATTTCTGGCTGTTGGTGGGTTTCAGAGGGTAGTGGCAAATGATTTAAATATAAGTGTTGATCGCACAACAATATGTAAAATATTGTGGAGAGTAATGAAAGTCCTGGAAGACAAAGTGTGTGCAAGCTGTGGACAGCTGCAAACCAGGATCCAGCCATGATCCAGATATGAGTGCAGCTAGGCAGCATTAACAAAAGAGGAAATGGTATGCAAAATAGTTGGCTTCTAGGAGACAGAGGTTACGCTTTAGAAACATTTTTGATGACGCCCCATAAACAAGTGGAGCATGGATCTTGTCAATATCGATATAATTAAGTGCACACATCTGCAAGAAACATTATTAAAAAAGTAAAAGTAGATTTTTTTATAGATTCTATTTTTATTTTGATCATATGGTGGTTGAGTTGCCAGATTGATCTCAAAAATGTTACGCGCTGTTTTTGATAAAAGGAGCTCTTTTTATTTTCTTTAATTTTACTATAAAAACTAATGTAAATACTGTATTTTTTAAATAAATATTGTAAAAACACGTTACATATTACTTCAGCGTTCTTTTTCAACTTGTACGTGCTCAGAAAAACACGTACGATCTATTTTCGTTTTCAATCCGCAAGGCTATATGTGCTCGAATTATATTCCCAATATTTTTTTGGGAATTTGGAATGGAGCACACCAAATATGGGAAAATGTTTCACATTCAAGCAAACTCGAAATGCAGCACATGGGCGAAAATTTGGAACCGATTGGATTATTAGTTTTTGAGTTATCGTGCCCGCCAATCGCAAAAGAGAAAAACGCGTTTAAAGTTTGAGAAACCCTTTAGCCGTCACTTGATGCGGATACAATAAAGCGGCTATAGCTTCAAGGGTTCTTGAGATTTTCACTTGAAATTTTGTAGGGACATTCTTGAATTAGCGTAGATTCGAATTAAATCAAAAAAATAAAAATAAGTTATAATTTTAAATAACTTGCAAGTATCGGACTATTTTTCATGTCAAAATACTATGAAATTGATTCTTTTGTCATTAAGACATATCTTACCAAATTATTTTGTTCTCATGCACCTATGCATGTCTTCTATATTCTTAATATTTTAGCTGAACCAATTGTGGTTTTCAAGTCATCTTCTTGTATTAATACAAGATATTTCTTTGTTGAATGAAATCAATAGATTTTGTGGTCTAAGAACCACATCAAAAACATTTCAAAGATTACAAAAATGTTTTTTTTTTCAATAAATTTAAAGTGTGGTTTTTATCAGCATTACAAAAGTGTACCTTCTCCTTTATAAATAATTTCTATATAAAGAATGGAATTAAAAAATAATATAATAAAAACTTAAATATGTATAAATCGTTTAGTTTTTATACCTGTCACTGAGGCTAACATTTGCACAGCTATGGCTATTACTACAGGTGATAGCCTGAATACAATATTTAGTATTGTATATACCAATAAATAGGCCAATAATTCGCAAGGTTAACATAACAAGTTAACATTTTACATTCCGTATCAATCGAACAAACGTTGAGCATTTTGTACACCACTTACTTGAAATGGGACGAAGATATATACAAGAACTATATCTAAATCTGAACTTGAACATTTTTCACATACATTGGTACTACTTCTAGGATGATTGGTATTGAAAATGGAACGGTAGCCTCCTAATATTCGATATTTTGAAACATTTGGGCATGTTTTTATACCCACACAACTATATTGTCGCCATATATCGACTAGCCATATATCGACTAGCTGTAAACACGATACAGTTATGGACCAATATTCACGAAATTTTGCATGTAGGATGGGTTCTGGCTAATGAAGACCCCTATTTTTTGGTAAAGATCGGTTAATATTTCAGGGATGAAATGGACCAAATACTTAATTTTTCTGGTAGCTTCTGAGGCCGCAATTATGGCCCAAACATCGCGAATTTTTACTTGGAGAAGTCGGTTAATATTTAGCGGGTCAAATGATCCCTGACTTGAAAAATGACAATATCACGAAATATTGGCCAGGCTCGGAATAAACATCCGCAAAAAGTTAGAGTTCCGTGGTAGTTGTGTAGGGTATCGTATCACTGGTTTCAACCTAATTGCTTGTAATTTGTCATTTTGGGTTCACACTGGGTAGAAAATGTTCCGATTAAAAATGATCAATATTGTTCCAATTTTTAGCGTTGCCCACATACCTTGTTATCCCTTCCGGGGTATTGCAGAGTAAAACACACAAATATGAAGCTCCTACCCCACTTTTTCAAACTGAATGTCTGTAATTTGGGACATTTTTTAATAGTCGTTGACATTGACATTTCTAAACGTAATAAAAATTAATCAAATAATAATTCATTCACTTCATTAATAACATCAATAAACAAATTAATGTGTATGATTAAAAAGTTTGAAACATCGATTAAAATCGCAGCAAGACGTCTACAAAATAAATTTATTTGCTGTTTAAAATTTAATTAAAATCAAGATCAAGGTAAATAATTTTATGAGAACATTTTAATTCCTCATACAAATCATCAATTAAATTAATCTGGAGGCTAAACAGTTTCACCTTTCCCTGTAATTTTTGTTATACCCTTCATACATTGTGGAACAGGTAGCGTGAGTTTGTGCTTAAGTTTGTATAATATATATATATATATATTGTGATTTATTGACCTTGTTAGAATGAGATATTGAAACTAAACTTATTGTTCGATTGTAGTTTCATTTCTAAATTATTTATGAAATATTTTGACTTAATCTTTTACACATAACATCTATCAATTCTCAGACTGCACATGGGGCTTGCGTTCATTATTTTACATCAAATGTGCGCACCAATATCTTTGTGTGTGGACTTCTATTTATTCTTTATTACCCTGCAAGCATTTTCAATCGTCAAAGTAACTAAAAAGTCACACGAATTCGGTAATAGCATCGCCTGCGACAATCGCTTTCTTATCGAAAATTATAAAGTTCACGGGAAGAGTTGTACCACGTCCGCGATACTACTTGGAAGGATCCTCTTCGTTAACACTAGAAGTTACTCAGTTAACACTAGAAGTTACAGACGATGCTACACAGACTTCATGTGACTTTTTAGTTTCATAGGCGATCATTTTACTGTCTTCACTTCTTGATTTTTCATGTTGTGACATTTCACTTTGCTATTTAAACAAATAAATTAACAATTTAATTTCTTAACAAGGGCTTTGAAACATAAAAAGTCCACTCCGGCCAATAAATAAATTATCAGTTACAGTTAAAATTTATCAGTTAAAATTTATTTATTTTAATTTCAATTTATGTAGCACTTCAACCGATCTCACAGTAAACAGAATGTTCGCGTTGAGCGTTTTTTGTTATCGCGTTAACGCAGGCAAAAAGTTAAAATATATTTAACTCCGAAGCGCAGCGCACAACAAATTCGAGCGTTTGTGTTATCGTTTCCTTGTGGTTGTTGTATTTTCGATAACACATAACGCAACGGATGGGTCAACGCGAGCATTCTGCTTAGCCCTTTAGCATAAAACAACTTGAACATCATTTATGAAATGTATAAATGTGAAGTGGTCCTAAATAAATACAGAATGATGCCGAGCATGTTCATATTTATATGAACAGACCTCTAAGCATTCAACAGAAATGTCTCTTATAATATTTTTCATAGAGTCCTCAAAGACAAGAAATCAAAATTCGATTGTTTTCATCATCCTTTTCCTCTTTAATTTGATCCTTGCATATGAAACCTTCTGTATTTGTGCACTAATAGATTTCGTATATATTGTAGAGTTTACATCTGAAATATTTACTATAAACACACGTCTATGTCATTTATATAGGGGAATAGCTTCACCGATGTGGCTGTAATTTGACGTTCGATATACCAGACGAATAAAAAAACTTCTCACCAGAATATTTATACCCTACACAACTGTGTTGTCAGGGTATTATAGCTTTGTGCAGCCCCAAGAGTTTGTAACGCCGCGAAATATTGGTCCTAGACCCACCTAAGTATACCGATCGTCATATCTCGACTAGCCACAGTTATGGACCAATCTTCACGAAATTTTGCATGTAAGATGGGTTCTGGCCAATGAAGACCCCTATTGATCGGTTGATGTTTAGGGGATGAAATGGACCAAATACTTAATTTTTGTCTGATTTTCTGGTCGCTCTAGAGGCCGCAATTATGGACCAAACACCGCCAAATTTTACATGGACAAGGGGATCGGGCCAAAGAATAAACATGCATGTTTTGATAAAGATCGGTCAATATTTAGCGGGTCAAAAGGACCCTGACTTTTGTGTGAAAAATTATAAAATTTGTATTCTATAGCGTATATATTAACCCCTGACGGATATAGACCCGAGAAGTTGATAGTGGGTGGAAATATAACACTAGTGGGTGGAAATATAACGCTGATCGCTTTGAAGTGTTCCATTAGGTTCCAGTTATGGCCACATAAATATGGACAACCCCTATAATTTTCGGTGATGCTCAGATAATAATTTTTGGATGAAGACCGAAAACTTAAATTTTTTGTATATTTTCGAGTCGATATATAGGACACAATTATAAGCCGAACTTCACAACAGTACCCACGATGAGGGAGAATTAGAAGGGCTTTACCGGATATTAGTAAAATTCGGAAAATATGTCAGTGTAAGGAAGAGGTGCTGTTGATCTCTTATCGGTCAAAAGGGTGCAAATATCACGAAATATTACCGAGGCTAGAAATACACATCCGCAGAAAGTAAGAGTTCTGTGGTAGTTATGTAGGGTATCGTATGGTCGGACCCGTCCGAAAGTAAGAGTTCTGTGGTAGTTGTGTAGGGTATCGTATGGTCGGACCCGTCCGACTATACTGCTCCGCTCACTGGTTTTAGTATAGTCGTAATTACACCCTTCATCACCCTGAGGTACAGGGTTTGTAACAGGCAAAAGGAAATGAGATAGACAAATGATTCATTTTGAGAATATGCATAGAATCACTTTCTGAATCGATGTATTCATGTCCGTAGCTCTGTCAGTCCATTTTAAATAGTAAATCAAATTCGACCTGTACGCATTTATGATTCGAATTGGATAAAATTTGGTACAACCCAAATGTTTGGAACAAGGACGAACCCTATTGCATTTGGATAAAATCGGTTCAGATTTAGATATAGCGCCCATATATATATATATATATATATATGGTGCACCAAACAACCAATGTTAGGCCGATTGCCGTATAGCCTAGTGTGTGTCGTGTTTTGTTGTTATCGGTTCAGTGTTAGATATAGCTCCCATATATATTTCCGATTCCGATCCGATTTTAAGTTAAGCGTGCACCAAAAACGCAACGCTAAGCCGATTGGCACAAAATTTTGCAAAACGTACTGAAGTTAGTATAGATAACGTGTCGCAAGTTTCGTTAAAATCGGTTCAGATTTAGATATAGCATCCATATATATTTTCGTCCGATTTTATTAAATTATGCTTCAAAGACCCAAAACGTACAAAATTGAGCATAGAAGGGCGTAATTGGGTGTAGTTGAAATGCATACATAGTCCATATGTATTATATTTTAGACCGACTTCATGCTAATTGTCATGTTAATGGTATTTCAAAAGTGTGACGTCTGTTAGGATGCATCTATTGAATATACCCAACATGGCGAAGGTTCCGACTTTACTACTTCCTTACAAGTTTGTAGTTGAAAAATGTCTGTTTTCCTCGCCAACTATACCTGGATTTCCTTCTTGACGACTTCGGTGTAGGTTGACGATACATAGGGAATCAACATATTTTTAACCTGATCTTTGATCTCTTTTTGTGGAGCTCTTTCTTCCTTTTGCCGGATGGATTGTTTGCAGAGCTGGTCTCAGTAGAGCTTTCTTGCATATTTTTCTAAGATGGCGGTTCTACTGCCATCTCCTTTTTTCATATTTCCCAGACGTTCTTCATCGAATTCTCAGATGTTACGCTGCTCACTCTGCAGCAAGAGATCCAGAATCATTTTATTATATCTTTCTCTTTATTGAACTCTTTCTTCATCTTGCCAGTTGGACCGTTTGCTGATTTCTTCCTCGTGTTCGTGATCCGTATCAGCGGTCATCTTCTTTGTATGTGAGTCATCTTTCTCGGGTTCTGTCGGGTTAATCTCGCTTTCTTTATGGCAGTGTAGCAGAAGCAGTTCCAAGACAACCAAATATGTAGGAGATAGTTGCTTCGGATTGTTGTATGACAAAATGGCGTGGCTCGTGTCTATCGGCTGTCATTCGGCTATTATTTCATTTCTTCTTTCTTTCATTCAATTATTTTTATTTTAGGGAACAATACAACAGACTCTTTATTTAGTCTAATAACAATTCTGCAAATACATTTTTATTACAAGATTAATTTAATGCGATATTTTTTAATGGTGTGTGTTTTTTGTTTCCTTCCAGAAACGACAAATCTATCGTGAACAGGTCTTACCACATGCCGGTGGAAGGATACCAGATACAGCATTTGAAACGGATCGACTATTTCTAAATCAACTACAAAAGGATGGTATCGCAGTACCGGATGGCATACTGCCAGAACAACGCAACCAACAAGTAAAAATACATTTGATATTTTTTTCTTTCATTTCTATATTTCTCTCTTCCATCCTCAAGGTATATCCCTTCTTCAATCGCCCCTCACGCAAAGTGTTTCGCATTGCATTGAGTTCTGACGGCCGCTATATACCACAAGAAGGGCGTTATCATTATCAAGAACTACCATCGATAGACACGACCTATTTGTATCCCCAGATTCACGGACAAAAGAACACATTGTCACCCGATAGTGTAACTCTTCCCGTCTACAGTCCATTTCGCATTCACAACCCACTACTGAATCAAGTTAAATTTCAGCCCAAGGATAAATGTAAGCTGGAGTTGGATTTGTTTTTTTTTTTTATTTTAATTTTTAATATTACTCTATTTGCAGCACAATTCCAAAATGTCTCTCCGTTCGGTGGCAACAAATCTTTGGGTAAAGCAAAATCCTATCAAAATGTGAATATTTTGAATTCGCCATTGTCACCGATAACTGGAAAAGGTTCGGTGGTACAGCATGGTGTCAGCGGTGGTGGCCCCAAAAATTACTTACCCGATTATACGTTGTCAAGCCAGAGTCATGTAAGCTAGAAATTGTGCAAATAGTATTTACGAATGAAGTAGGTATATGAGAAGAAATTTTTTTCGTTTCCTTATAAATAGAACGATAATATTTCGATATTGTAACATTTTTAGAGCAATATTTATATACTGCCAATTTTTCCAAATATTGAAAGGGGTTATTGGGTTATGTAAAGTTGAATTAATTTTGGATTAAAAAAACGAACATGTACAAGGGTCTAAATTTGTATACCCTCCCTTTTATACATATTTTTGTATTCAATTCCTTATATCGACCTGGACATTTATATGAGAACTATGTCATTGTCATTTATATGTCCATATGTTGTTTATGCTCCATTCAATTTTAATATTAAATTACAGACACTCAGTATGGGAAAACTGTACTAGGAACTTGAAAATAACAAAAATTAAGGCGGATCTTTGCCCGGAGGCTTAATAAAAATATGGACCTAAATGAGGCTAAAACCTCCAAAATATCGAAAATGAAACAGAACCTTTATACAGGTAGACATGTCAAAACAGTTATAGATCTCTATCGAACAATGAGCCTAAACCTCCAAAATATCGAAAATGGAAAATAACCTTTTTATAGGATGGACATGTCAAAACATTTATAGATCTCTATCAAAAATTACCTATATCAATGTTTTGGCTTTTAAGAATCCCTAATGCTACTACAAGAGTACGAAAGATAATAAATTGTACCAAAATTAGTATAGAACTATATTTGTGTTGCGATGAGAATTGGTGTTGTGTTGAGACATGGCCATTATCGGTGTGTATGTTGATTAGCTTTAGACATGTTTAAATATATGCTCGTATTCAATAAAAATAATTATTTTAGAAAACCTTCTAAACTTCTTTGGGAATCCCTGTTGATACTCTATGGAAAGAATACTTTCTGAAATTCTTCTACGCAGACGCTTTTGATATGTTCACCTATGTAGTCACCAAAATGCTTGTCTACTACTTTCTGATCTGAAACTGTCTGATCTACAAAGGGAGGAAGATCTGTTGGTCCTCAAAGAAAAAAATGAAAAAAAAAATAAGTTCCTTCTATTTTTTTTCAATGAGAAAAAGGAGAACTTCTATTATCCTGCCAAATCTGAAATTGGATAATAATTATTGCTTTCGGTCTTCTTTGGTTCGGGTATTCAATTAAAAGAATGCCTTTGCCATACGAAAAAAATTGTAGTGGGGCGTATTCTTCAATGTAAATCACTACTTTCTGATATTTAATGATACTAAAGCTGTCTGAACTTATATAATAAAAATCCTCTACTTCGTAAAACTTGTATTTTTCTACGAGGAAAAAACTTTTATTTTTTAGTCTAATATTTTGTAAGAATAATGTTCATTCCGGGACTAGGTGATAAGCTTCTGTGCGCAGCAGTCCTTTCTATGACAAAAAAAAAACTTATTCACTTCTATTTCGAGAACCTTGTAATATTCTACCATTAGAAGACCTATTTTTTCAAGAAAATCTCCACTATAGGTTCATGTTGTTATAGCTCCTTTACAAAGGTACCGCTTACTTTTGTCATATATTGAAGTTCCTAGCTCAGTTTGCCATATCTTGAAATTCCTAGCCCAGTTTTACAACCGATTATCAAACAATGTAGCCCCATATTAAGGTCCTGAACGACTATATGGTACCCTTTACCACTTCAACAGAACACCATAACGTCATTCTAGTCTCAATTTGATACGTTTTGCAAAATTTCGAGTCAATCGGATAAACATTATGAGTTTGATGCATCATTTACCTAAAATCAGACGAAAATATATGTGTGGGAGCTATATCTAAAAAGGAATCGATTTTCATGAAACTTAGCATACATTATTTTGGACTTAATCCAGTACGCTATGCCAAATTTCGTGCAAATCGAAGGATATATATGGACTATGGTGCACCATTCACAATAAATCGGACGAAAATATATATATGGGAGCTAAACCGATTTTCAAGAAACTTAACACACATCATGCTAGACTTAATTCAGTACACTATGCCTAATTTCGTGCAAATCGAAAAATATATAGGGAATTTGGTGAAGCATTTAGAATCAATCAATATATATGGGAACCAGCAACGTACACAGAATTTAATTTCGGGGGGGTGGGCCGGTAGTACAAAATGAAACTGTTGCAAACATAAATGGGGGGCCCGGGCCCCCATGTACGTCCCTGATGGGAACTATATCTAAATCTGAACCGATTTTTCCCAATTTCAATAGGGTTAGTCCTTGGGCCAAATTAATTAGCTGTGCCAAATTTCATAAAATTCCAATCATAAAGTGCGAGGTGTACTTTGTTTACAATTCAACATGGACAGAAGGACTTGCATAAATCGACTCAGAAAGTGATTTTATGCATATTCTCGAAAGGAACCATGGGTCTATCTCTATTATTTTTGCCTGTTACAAAAATATGCACCAAGATATAATACCCTGTACCACAGTGTGGTGAAGGGTATAAAAATGAGAACTTCTAGTATATTGCCATATCTGAAAATCGATAATTATTATTGCTTTCGGTCTTCTTTGCCTCGGGTATTTTGATTTAGAATAACCTCTTTGCTATAGGAAAAAATTTTAGTATGTCCTGGAACGAAAATTCATTATTATTATTATTTTTCGAGTCTGATATTTTGTGAGAAGTATGTTCATTCCGGGACTAGGCGATAACCTTATGTGTGAAGCAGACCTCTCTAATAAAAAACTCCTTCGATCCTATTTCGAAAACCTTGTAATGGTTCAGTATAGGTCCATGTTTTTATAGGTACAGATCCATGTTTAATGAGGTTCTAATCTATAAAATGCAATCAAATCATTTTTTTCTACTAACAAAAATGTGTTGTTTTGTTTTTCTTCTTACAGCTATTCAATGATTTTGATGAATTATTTAATCAATTCGATGTCAACGACCCGAACGCTAAGAAATCGCATTCATTTGTAAGAACATCCTCCAGTGGACAACAACGACCACATCATCATGTTATAACTTATTAGAGACGCTTTTGTTAAATTCTATTTCTTTTTTATATTTGTACTTAGGTTAATTAATTATTAAAATACTCTAAAAATAATGGAATTAATATATAAAATTTGTATTTTAAGTAAAATTTTTTTAAAATAAAAATGTTTCTCACATATTATTAAATGTAATATTTTTAAACCTAATTTATGCTAAATATTTTCAGCAAGAAGGTATTCGAAGTACCTTCAATTGGCACGACATCACAACCTGCCAAGTAACTAAAATAGTTATGGATAATTAATATATCGTTCAACATGTAAAGGCAATAAGTCCATTTTTTTTCTAGAAAAAAATTTACTATTATATCATTTGTTGTTGTTTTGTAGTGATAAGTAAAATAATGTATGTTTTTGTCTCTCCTGTAAAATATGGACTTATTACCTTTACATGTTAAGCCAGCGATATGATTTATCGCCGCCAGCTACAAGATCTTCTTCATTTTTTTCTTGAGCATTTAATTTTGTTGAATCCACTGAAGATTCCCCATACCAACAAACTAATTTTTGAATGGGAAGCTTACCTATCTATTGCATTCAATGATAATCACGTAATTCGGTAAATGGATTACATTCGTCATGCCTGTAGAGTAAAATAAATACACAAACAAACAAAAACACAATGGTCTAATGGCACAGATGCAATAAAGTTTGAATAAAAAAATAAAAAAAAAACAAACTACCAAAAAAATACAAATCAATGAAAGTAAAAGTCAATAATACCACCAATTGCCCAATGTGAGTATATGTGTGTGTGTGTTACTACAAATCATTTGGGCCCACAGAAAGAAGTGGTTATGTTAATGGGGGAGTGGTAGCTTTGCAATAGTTTATCATTGGCGGTTAACCAACATAATCTGCAATCAAAAAAGCTTTTCCATTAAAGTTTTTCATTCGTTATTATAAAAAAATAGGAGTAGTCTTTATAGGTCCACGTTTATCAGCCTATTTTATCAAAATTTATTGTTTAGGGCTTTCAAAGGGAACAAATATCATTTCAAACAATAGGTATAAATCCATCGCATCGATATAACAATACCTTTCGATTTTCCATATTTTACAACGTTACCTAAAATTTAACGAAGCGTACAAAAATATTCAACTTCCCCACTATGGCAAAATGTTTTGTACGGCCGTATTGCCTAAATACGTCGAATCCATTTCTCTTAGCGAACTAAATAAAATTAAGAAATTATGAAATGTGTTCAAATATTTCATATTCTTACTGAAAAAAAAATCTTTATGTTTTGTTTCTTTTTTCAACAAAAGAAAAAAACAGTACTAAGTTCTGTCATAGTTGAATTTTTTCAACTTTGAAAATTCGTACGTCGACGTATTTCGGTAACATTCGTATAAATACATATGTTCTACTTTTGTGATGAAAAACGTCGAACGAGCTAGTGTAATTTTAGGTAAGGCTGTTAGAGTAGATCCAGTATAAATCAATTTTTAGATAAAGCATCCACACAACATTTTCCATTTGTGAGCAAAAAATGTGCTCAGTACGATTTTACCTACAAGCCAAACCAGTGAGCGGAGCAGTATAATCGGACGGGGCCGACCCTACACAAGTACCACGGAACTCAAACTTTCTGCGGATATTTATTACGAGCGTGGGCAATATTTCGTGATATTTTAACCCTCTTGTCCGATTAGAGGTCAACCGCACCTCTTCCTTACACTGAAATATTTTCCAAATATTACTAATATTCAGAACAGCCTTTCTAATTACGATGTTCGGGCCAATATTTCGGCCTCTGGAGCGACCAGAAAATCCGACAAAAATTTAGTATTTGGTCCATTTGATCGCCTAAATATTAACCGATCTTTCCCAAAAACAATAGGGGTCTTCAATGGCCAGAACCCATACTACGTGTAGATTGGTCCATAACTGCGGCCTGTATCGTGTTTACAAATTATAATGGACAGACGGACGGACGGACGGACACACATGTATAGATCGACTCAGCTAGTAGAGATATGACGATTGGTATACTTAAAGGTGGGTCAAGGACCAATATTTCGCGACGTTACAAACATTTGGGGCTGCACAAAGCTATAATACCCTGACAAAATAGTTGTGTAGGGTATAAAAATGGACTTAATGGAAAATACGACCGCATATGCTCAAAAGATGCATACTTATTTTTTCTTCCGCCAGCAAACATTCGTTGGATCCCGCAAAATTTGAAAGTCGACCAAAAAAACAAGTGTAGTTTTGAGCAAATAAATTTTAAAACATGTTCAAAATTCGTTAATTTTGTCCGAGCGCCCATTAGATGGACATTCAAATCCTCAAAATACTGAAAATTGGGAGTACCGTTTGGGAAATACCGTTTGGGGACTACACCTGATAATGGGCCAATATTGGTACCTTACAGCCAATACGTGTCTGAAATCCTCAAAATATCAAAATTGTCTATGTGTTTCCAATGGGCTATGTCAACCTCACATAAAAGGTTCCGACCTATTCTTGGTATTTTTATACCCTCTACCTTGTGACTGAGGCAAAAATGTGTCTCATCGAAATATTGGTTTTTGGCTCCATGTTTCTTTTGGCCAAACCTGTTTCAGACAATTTGGAGTCGATTTAGAAATTTGCGTTTGTCTGTCTGGATAGTTGGTGCGCAAGATAACTCTCCAAGGTAGTAACCGGTTTCATCCAAACTTTGCACATCGTAATATTTCTTCTAAATTTATTTTATGTTCAAAGATTGGGACTATCGGTCCACTCATTCTCTCCCACAAAATAATTAAAATTTTACTGAAAATAAATTTTATAATATAATGTAAACGGACTATCCCATCGATTCATTCTGGTACCTCCCTCGCAAAATGGTCAAAATTTTACTAAATATTAATTATCGAATTCGTGATCATCCCCTTCTAAGTGATCCATCAGTTGGCTGGCTTTTATATGCCTTTTTAGCTGCGACATCCTCATCCATTCTCACGATATGGCCTAGACAACGTAGTCGCAGCAGCTCGATACGTCTGACTATGTCGATGTCCGAGGATAGGTGGTACACTGAGAGAAAAATGCTTCATTGGATCAATGAAACATTTTCATAAGAATTTTTTCATTCATCCAATGAAAATTTTCATTAATAGAATGAAACTTCATAGATCCAATGCAAAAGTTGCATTGATCCAATGAAGGTGTTATGAAGGCTTCATAAAAAAAAATCATAAAAATAATTTCATTGGTTGAATGCAATATTCCATAGGTTAAATGAAATTGCTTCATAAAATTGCTTTCATTTTTATGAAACTTTAATGAAGGTTTTCATAACCCATTTTCATAAAAGATGTTCATTGGTCGAATGAAAAGTTGCATACATGTTTTGAAATATCTTCATTAAATTGCATTATTTCTTATGAAACTACATTGAAATTTTTCGTCCACAATGTTTATACATAGAGAATGTTCATAGGCTGAATGAACCGTTTCACATTGTTAATGAGATGGCTTCATAAATAAATGGACATGCTGTGCTTTGCTTTTTACGTTTGGTCAAATCTCTCTAAACATTATTTCTAGCTTTTTCCTTAATAATGTTCGTTAGAAGCCTAAATATACAAAAACATCCTTGTTACGAGAAACAAAATACACAAGACTGAACGTGACTGAAACTGCACTAAGAAGAAAATACAGTTGAACCTCGATTATCTGAAATAGTTCCTGTTTGATTTATAATGAATAATGGAAAGCCTTTCATGGATGAAATTTTTCAGTTTATAAAAATATATTTTATTTAATTTACAAAATAATATTGGCGGGTATGTTTTATGTATTAGACAAACAATTTTATATTTAATATAATTTTGTAAATATCGCATACTCGAGTGTCAACTGTAGTTTGGTTATTCAGTAAAGCGTGTTATTCAGTAAAGCAATTATATTTATTGTTGCTCTGATATATTTTGTGTACACTTGAAAAAGAAAAAATATAATCGCAATAAAATCGAAAAGTGATCCGGAACTTGTGACAGCTACAGACGAAGTAATAAACATGTTTGCATCTTTAACCATTTTTTATGTTTTTTTAATATTTATGTATTGCTCCGTTCTGTATTTATCAAACTTCTGAGACATTGATGTAAAGAATTTAAAGAAATTTTAAGAATTTTATATTGCGTTAAGGCTTTTTCACGGGACACGATATATCGTTTATCGTATGTTTTATCGTTTTGAAGCCAAATCGTACAGGCCTTTTCTCACCAAACAATTAATCTTTCAATTTTATGTCAAATAATTATCAATAAATTGAAATCATTTGACATTTTCCGTTTGAGCCGTTTGAGACTATATTTGTGGAATCGTACCTCGAAACTTGCAAAACAATAACATTTTCAACGGATTTTGCCTTTAGGCAGAAGTCCTTTTTTTCGTTTATTTAATTTGCTTTTATTTTATTTTTAATATAGTATAAATAAACAAACAGTTTACTTAAGTGTACAGACCTATATCTGGTTTCTTAAAAATTGTATACTATATTGTATTGTATACTTGTGTTTTAAATAAAGCTTCACTCCATTAGTTTTTAATAGAACACAAAACATTTTTATACCCTTCACCACACTGTGGTACAGGGTATTATGTCTTTGTGCATATGTTTGTAACAGGCAAAAATAATCGAGATAGACCCATGGTTCCTTTTGAGAATATGCATAGAATCACTTTCTGAGTCGATTTATGCATGTCCGTCTGTCCGTCCGTCCGTCCGTCCGTCCGTCCGTCCGTCCGTCCGTCTGTCCATGTTAAATTGTAAACAAAGTACAGGTCGCATTTATGATCCGAATTGGATGAAATTTGGCATAGGTCACTTATTTGGCCCAAGGACGAACCCTATTGAAATTGGGAAAAATCGGTTCAGATTTAGATATAGCTCCCATATATATATTTAACCGATTTAATGTAAACAGTCCCTATATAACTTTCGATTTGCACGAAATTTAGTACAGCCTAATCATTTAGGTCTAGAATGATGTCTGCCAAGTTTCGTGAAAATCGGTCCAGATTTAGATATAGCTCCCATATATAGTTTCGTCCGATTTCATGTAAATGGTGCCCCAAAGTCCCTATATATCTTTTGATTTGCACGAAATTTGGCATAACGTACTGAATTAAGCCTAGAGTGATGTCTGCCAAGTTTCGTGAAAATCGGTCCAGATTTAGATATAGCTCCCATATATAGTTTCGTCCGATTTCATGTAAATGGTGCCCCAAAGTCTCTATATATCTTTCGATTTGCACGAAATTTGGCATAACGTACTGAATTGAGTCTAGAATGGTGTCTGCCCAGTTTCAAGAAAATCGGTCCAGATTTAGATATAGTTCCCATATATAGTTTCGTCCGATTTCATGTAAATGGTGCCCCAAAGTCCCTATATATCCTTCGATTTGCACGAAATTTGGCATAACGTACTGAATTGAGCCTAGAATGATGTCTGCCAAGTTTCATGAAAATCGGTCCCGATTTAGATATAGCTCACATATATAGTTTCGTCCGATTTAATGTAAATGGGGCCCCAAAGTCCCTATATATCTTTCGATTAGCACGAAATTTGGTACAGCCTAATCATTTAGGTCTAGAATGATGTCTGCCAAGCTCCGTGAAAATCGGTCAAGATTTAGATATAGCTACCATATATAGTTTCGTCCGATTTCATGTAAATTGTGACCAAAATCCATATATATCTTTCGATTTGCACGAAATTTGGCATAACGTACTGAATTGAGCCTAGAGTTATGTCTGCCAAGTTTCGTGAAAATCAGTCCAGATTTAGATATAGCTCCCATAAATAGTTTCGTCCGATTTCATGTAAATTGTGCACCAACATCCATATATATCTTTCGATTTGCCCGAAATTTTGCACAACGTACTGAATTGAGCCTAGAGTTATGTCTGCCAAGTTTCGATAAAATCGGTCCATATTTCTATATAGCTCCCACATATAGTTTCGTCCGATTTCATGTAAATGGTTCACCAAAGTCGCTATATATCTTTCGATTTGCACGAAATTTGGCATAACGTACTGACTTGAGCCTAGAGTGATGTCTGCCTTGTTTCGTGAAAATCGGTCCAGATTTAGATATAGCTCCATTTTATTATAGATTGATTTTATGTAATTGACGCACCAAGGAACCAATAGGAACAAAACGTTCTAAAGTTCGTATAACCTAACCTGTGACAAGTTTGTTTGAAATCGCTTAATATGTGGATATAGCTTACATATATTTTTTCGCCCGATATCAAGCAAATTGGGCATCATACTCCTCATGTTAGTCAGATTGACATCAAATTTTGCACAACATACAAAATTGAGCATAGAATTACGTAGTTGCGTTTTCTAGAAGTACAGACATAGTCAACCGGATGACCTATTTATATTTGTTTGAAGTCGATTTACACACTTTATGGACAAATCTAGGTAGATTCACATTTAGATAAATATCACATATTTTATTTCATCCAATTTCATGTTAATAGTCCTGTTTAATGTACCCATAGTGGTGAAGGGTATCTTAGAGTCGGCCCCGTCCGACTTTACTACTTTCCTTACTGGTTTATAATAACAAATGTCGTCTATATTTGTTTCGAAAAAGCGGATTGGTACTCGTTCTATATAAAAAAAGTTTATATTTTGACGCGTTTTTTATTCTGAAAAGTTTGCATCACATTTAATGTGTACTCATGAACTTGTTGGCAAACTATGGAAGCAACAACTACACACACACATATCTCTTTCGTCTGAACAACTCCACTAACAAAATAGAGTAACGATCAATTATAACGGTATATTTTTGTTTGTCACATATTTTTGGTTCAGCGAAGTGAAATAGAAAATTGCTTATTCATTTCATTGTGGTTTTCAATCGGAGAACATTTAAAAGTGAGTTTGTGAATTAAATAAAAATAAAAGAAATACATTCTTCAAACAAAATAAAAAACAGTGGTAAATAACACAAAATAAAATGATTTGCTTTATGTGTAAAAAAAAGTTTTGTGACAAAAAACATTTCTTCAAACACCTTCGGGGTGATCATTTTCTGAAATCTACTGATTTATACAAGTGTTGTGGTCAAAATTATGAATATAGGTCTTTTCAAAGACATATAGCAAAACGGCATAACAGCAGTTTTTCTCCCCAAGAACAAAAAAATCAAATAAAAGAGACGCGGGTTTTAACAAGTGTGAAACAAATTGAGGAAATAGAAGCAGACATTCCGGTTATTCTTGACAATCAATGCGAACAAAATATTGACGTTTCTCCAACTCCTTCAAACTATTTGCAGCCTGAATCGGAAGAAAAGAAATTTGAAAGGGTTAGCGAGAACGTTATTAAATTCCTAACAAGTATGCATTCAAACTATAATTTTTCAAGAAAAGATGTTACTTTTATTTATGGTAATGTCATTGATGCAGTCGTTAACCCGTTTTTGGAAGTAATAAATGCCTTTGCAAAAGACTTAGATAATAATTTGTCCACAAAATTATCAATATTACTATCAAAATATTCTGCAATTTTAGAAAAGCTTAAAACGGAGTATCGAACAGAACGTAGAGGAAAAATTTATGTAAAATCCCAAAATCTTAAAAAACAAAGCAAGCAGATTTTTATGCTGGAAAACGAATCACCTACGGCGTCAAAAAAGGCTAAAATTACTTTTGGTAGGAAATGTGGAATTTGTGGTTTAGTAATGGTTTTTAATTAATTTGTATTTTCAGTACCTGAGGAGAATGGAGAGGATTTGGTGCAAGTTCTTAAATATGACAAGCTTTCAGCTGAAGAGTTTGAAACAAAGTGGATTTCTTGTGCCAACTATAGACTTAATCAAGTACTTAACGAATGCAGTAGCCTACGAGAGATTCTTAAAAAGTGGCCTGAATATAAATCACATTATAAGTTGGTGAGTATATATATATATCAAATTGTAAACATTTGATAATTTTAGCGTAATTCTACAAAAACTGTTTTAAATTCAGATTGATATTGACTTCTCAATAATGCATAAATCGCACAACAAAATGCTCAACTGGGACCAAAAAATCCTAAAGTTGTTTAACTTTTTGAAAAAATCTAAGCAACTTAAATGTCATGGTGAGTCAAAAATGTTAGAAACTCTCCAGGACGAAGATTTGGAAAAGGGTAAGAGTCTTCAAGTCAAGCTCAACAAATCGATCAAACCTAATTTAACGTTATTATTTGCAGATCGAGGCACATTTGCAGTGAAAACCCTGTGGATTTTACATTATGTTCTTTTCCCGACTGGGCGGCAAGTTCGAAAAACAATTCTCGGAAAGAAAGAAATATCTCGCTATACAATAAAGGACTCCCAGAAGACGTTTTTGTTTTTGGGAAAGACTTTGCAAGAATTACACGACCATATTGATTTTTTGTTAAAGATGAAAGAACATATTCAGCCTTTTATATTGGGAATCGGAAGTCTGGACGATATACATGAAATTTTTGTTTATTTTGATGGTGACCTCATACGGTTTCCTAATTTTCTTCGCTCTTTGGATATTTGTTTTAAAATGTTCCATTTATTTAATTTACAATATCCCACAGCATCTGAAACATTTTGGATCTTTTTGGAAAACTACTTTTTTGAAATAAGTTCATGCTCAAAGAAAAAGTCAAAGGTAAGCATCCTCTTGGATGATTTAGAGAAACAATCTGAGTAATTGGTTTCAATTTAATAAGTTATAAATTCTCAGATATTTAAAACACTAAATTAAATAATAATTAAGCTATTTTTATATTGATATCTTCATATCAATTAAAAATAAGTTCGAAAATTAGATTTATGCAAATAACAAACGTTCCTAAATTCCGCAGATTAAAAACTGACTGTGTATTTGAATTACCTCAAGTAATTACAAATAAAGACTTATAGACTATATAAGTAAAAAAAGTTATAGTATTTTATAAGAACTTGTATGCTAAAAATATATTAAATATATTACTGTTAAAAACAAATCAAAATGGACTGAAAAATGAATTATAACTAAGTAGAATTGTTTACAAAATATGATATGTAAGAAGAAACATGAACTTTTGTAACACTGATTAAATAATATTTACAAAATTAATTTTTAAAAACCGCTTGCAAAACAAGTCACAATATGAATTTATTATTTTTGAGTTTAACATAGATATCTAAGACCTCTTTTGTTTGTAAATGAATTAACAAAGATACGTTTTTACAAAATAAAGAAAAATAAAAAATAAGTATGTGAATATATTCTTGTCTAAATGGTAAATAATGCCTGAACATATTCACACAACAAATGAAACCCGTTCATAAAAAATTAACAATTTCATAAAATCAAAGAAACCCTTTCATTATTTAAATGTACATCATTCATTTAGCATATGAAGGGGTTTCATTTGTTGTATTAATGTTTCATTTGCTGTATGAATATGTTTCATTCAATCTATGAACACATTTCATTGGATTTATGAAGACATTTTATTCTATTCATGAATAAATTTCATTATATCTATGAAGATGTTGCATTGATTTAACGATTATGTTTCATAGAATAAATGAAAGCTTCATTAAATCAATGGATTTATTTCATTACATCAATGAACATGTTTCATTGGGTTAATGACTTTGTCGTTAGTCCAATGAAACTTTTTCAATATATGTGTGAATATGATTCATTCGACGAATGCAACTATACATTAAATATGTGAAGATATTTCATATATTCTATGAACTTGTTTCAATACATCTATGAATGGTTGTCATTAATCTAATGCAATATTTCATCCATCCAATGATGGAAACGTTTCATTAAATAAATGTTTTCGAATCATTCATCCAATGAAATGTTTCTTTGGTCTTTTTTTAATGAAACATTTCATTGGGCCAATGCAGAAATTCATTATATTGATGCAGAAATTTCTCTCAGTGTACAACTCACGGCGATATTCACGACGGAGATATTCACCGTCGACGCAAATCGGCCTATAGATCTTTCGGAGAATTTTTCTCTCAAACACTCCAAGAGCTGCCACATCTGCTAGTGCAAGTACCCATACTTCTGATCCATACAACAGGACGGTTAGTATCAGCATATTGTAGAGTGTGAGTTTGATCTGGCTAAAGATGACCTTGTTCCTGAATTGCTTACATAGACCATAGTACCATCTGTTGGCCAACACTATACTCCTCCGAATTTAAAAACTGATGTCATTAGTTTTATTTATAGCGGTCCCAAGATATAAAAATTCCTTAACTACCTCCAAGCTGTAGTTCTCAAGTTCTTGCTACTGGACATCTTGCGCGTTGATACCATCAGCTTGCTCTTCTCGCCAGACCCACTTTGGCAGACTTCTTCTGAATTCGTTCAAAGGTGTATATTACCGCTCTCAATGTCCGATATCGATGTCATCCGCGTAGGCGAGTAACATATGTTATTTGGTGTACAGGGTGCCATTTCTGTTCATCTTTGCCTCTCGTATGGCCTTAACCAGCAATATGTTAAACAGGTCACACGACAAACTGTCACCTTGTCCGGATCCACGTTCGTTATTGAAGAGCTCCGATAGGTCCTTTCCGACTTTAACTGCTAGCCTTGAGCCAGTTAAAGTACATAGACGTATTATTTTTGCAGGAATGCCGAACACAGACATGGCTTTAAACACCACTGAACGGATAGGGCCACATTCGACTGGCTTTATATCCGACGGTAGAATGTGTCGTTGTGTTTTTCATAGGTCTTTTCCAGGATTTGGAAATCTTGTGCATGGTGGATTTTCCAGGCCTGAATCCGTATTGGTATGGTTCAATTTTATCATTGGCCATTGCATTCAGCGTTCACACAGCACGCTGCATAGCACTTTATATGCGATGAGAAGGAGACTTATTCCTCTACATGGAACTCAGAATGCTTAGGATCCCATCATTGGGAACCCTCCAGCCAAATTGTTCTAATCAGCTGGTTCATGCTCCTGACCAGCATCTGACCATCTGTCTTGAATTGTTCGACTGGTAATCCATCGGCTCCTGCTGCTTTATTATTCTTCAGCCGGTTAATTGATATTCTGACCTCATCTTGGCTGGGTGGTATACAATCTATACCGTCATTTCTTACTGGTTCGGGGGTTTCTTCTTCGCCGCCACTATTTGATACCAGAAGCTTTGCAAAATGTCCCTTCCAAATCCTCAACATGCTATCTGTATCTGTCACCATGTTTCCATTTTTATCTCTACAGGAGGATGTGCCTTCGGTTTAGTGTTTTACTCGTTGATAAAATTTCCGGACTTTATTCTGACTTTACAGCTCGATTTACTCACGCTCATGTTTTTCTTGTTTTTCTTCTTTTTTCTAAAATAGAGGTGTGCAAAAAGAGAGGGGAGTAAAAAAGAGAAGAGAGTAAAAGAGAAACCGCCCTATGAAATGTCTTACAAAAAGAGAACGCAGAGACCAAGCTTATTGATACAATGTAAGCGAGGGCACCAGCTCCCATGGTTGCCCAGCATTCTTCTAAAAACACGTTTCCCTTCCTCCTTTTCACCCGATAATTCTCCCTCGCATTAAGTGTGAGAAAACAACTTTTGATATCAGTCGTGGAATTTTAAAGGTATAAATAGAATTTTCTCATCGAAGTGGCCATAATTTGGAATATCGGATTCCCCATATCAATATCCGGTTAAATTGTCGATATGCTAAAGTTCCTTTCACAGTTTTCCAACCTGAGTGTCTGTAACTTGGAACTTATAAAACTCTCAACCAAATTAAGGATTTTTGAGGGCACACCACATGGTAGAGAGTATAAAAAATTCGTCCCACCAAAACCTAGGGATATTTTTACTTGTTTTATTTTCTCTCTTATTCGTGGGAGTCAATATTTTATCAATTTTCAACAAGTTACCGAACACTGTGCACTCGCCCCGCAAAAAGCATAATGAAGCTTGATCAAAAAAGCATACACATGATTTTTGCTCGGGAAGTACTCAGCCATAATGCAGCATAGTTTATAATACCATTAACGGCATGGTACACGAACCATGTACTACAAACACACACAACATACCGCACTGGACAACATGAGCTGTAACGTCAACAAAAACAACAACAACAACAACAATTTACAAACATTTAAAGCTTTTGCATTGTTTTCGAATAATAATGAAAAAAATGAAGAAAAAATCCAAAACACATCTCAACACACCAACATCGGTTGCATTCGACGAAAAAGTCTCTGGCGGATAGTTAGTTAATAGTTAGGCCAATCAGTTGAAGTTTTCAAGTCTAACGGAAAAGAAGTTAAATAAAAGTGAACGCAAATAAGAGAAAAATTAATTAAAATTTTAAAATTAGATTTTTAAAACAAGGTTGGTTGAAAAAGGTTTTTTTTTTTAAATTTTTTCAAAATATAATTATCAATTATAATCTATTTTTGCAGCTCTCATCGTTTTCAAGATGCTATCTCAACGTTTTCTTGCCACAATTTGTCTCAGCTTAGTCTCGGCCTATGCGGTCTATGCCATTCAAGTTCAGGTAAGCGAATTTGCTGTTTTGATGCTCAAAGATATTTCTGGTTTTTGTTGGCAAAGAAGAAGAGATTATAAAAAAATATTTTTTGACATTTAATTTGAAACACCCGATTGCAATCACTTCCTCATCAAAAATTGCAAATTATTATGTGTTTTTGTAATACAACAATTTTGAAACCCATAATTTTCCAATATTTTCGATTTTGTACATTTTGATTTTGTTACCATTCACAACAATCTCTTTTGACCTATAAAAGTTTTTCGTAGCCAAGGTACTGCCGATTCGTTACAATTTGGTTGGTTTTGTGTTGTATGGTAGTTGTTGTTGTTTTTTTTTCTTTTTAATGTTTTTTTTTAACAATCCATTTAATTATTTTATTCATTTACAATCGCTGGTTAGGTTTATTGTGTCGTTTTTTTAAGCACTTTGATAATTTTTGTTTTGTGCAGACAAACCATGTTTTGAAACCGGTTCATTTGTTACAGTTTCAATTTTTGAAGGTGCGTAATTATATCAGCATAGATGTGTATGTGTATGTACTAGTGCTGGTCCACATATATCGGACATTCCATATTTGTTACAAGAATTGCAAGTTTTTTAATCATTGCCTCCAATTGGATATTTTCATTAGTTTCCCGTTATAGATTGTCTTCGGCTCGATAACTGTCAAGTGTATGGTGGCCATATATGGATTTGAATGTCAGATTTTATGCACACAAATGCAAAAGATATCGGCAGTGCTTTAATTTACTCAAAATTCAAAATATGAAAATCGTATTTACAACCAGAGAGCGGAGCAGTATAGTCGGACGGGATCGACCATACGATACCCTACACAACTACCATGGAACTCTAACTTTCTACGGATGTTTATTCCAAGCCTGGACAAATTTCGTGATATATGCTCCCTCTAGCCCGTTTAGAGGTCAACAGGACCTCTTCCTTGCACTGACATATTTTCCGAATATTACTAATATTCAGTACAGCCTTTCTAATTAATTGTCCAGATTCCCTTCACCGTGGGTTGTGTTGTGATGTTCGGCCTATTATTGGCATCGACTCGAAAAAAACACAAAAAATTATGTATTCGGTCCACTTCATCCCATAATTATAATCTGCTCATCACCGAAAGTTATAGGCGTTGTCCTTGACCATAACTGGATCCTCATGAAAAAGCTAAAAGCTATCCGCGCTATATTTCCACACTCTAGATTGGTAATGGGTTAATAAAAAATATCAGAGTACGTAAGCACCTGTTAATATTTAATACCATATAATTGGTATCAATTTAAAGGTCAAGCACTCCTCTTGGATATACTATGAACTTCTCGGGTCTATGTGTTTCAGGAGTAAATATATTCCCTATAGAATACAAATTGGCAAATTTTTCACACAAAAGTCAGGTTCCATTTGACCCGCTAAATATTGACCGATATTAATCAAAACAGGTATACTTATTCTCTGGCCCGATCCCCTTCTCCATGCAAAAATTCGCGGTGTTTGGGCCATAAATGCGGCCTCTGCAGCGACCAGAAAAACCGACAAAAATAAAGTTTTTGGTCCATTTCATCCCCTAAATATTAACCGATATTTACCAAAAAATAATAGGGGTCTTCTACATGCACAATTTCGTGAAGATTTGTCCATAACTGTGGCCTGTATCGTGTTTACAAATTATAATGGACGGACGGACACACATGTCTAGATCGACTCAGCTAGTCGAGATATGACGATCGGTATACCTAAAGGTGGGTCTAGGACCGATATTTCGCCACGTTACAAACTTTTGGGGCTGCACAAAGCTATAAAACCCTGACAACATAGTTGTGTAGGGTATAAAAAGTTACGCCTACTGGTACCAACTCCACTCTGTGCCAGAAGGGATGGTTCAACGGTCTTCGATCTTGTTTTTAGGTTTGGTAACCAGCCCTTATAAAATATATTTTAAAAAATCCACGCCTTGTTTTCTTAATATATAAAAGAGTTAGCGATAAGATCATCGCCAAGACGAAACGGCTGAAGCTAGAAACTTGGAAATTCGAACTAGAAGGGTTATTGGAAATTCGAACTAGAAGGGTACAAAAAGTACTAAAATGTACTAAATATGGTACCCTTTGTATTAGGCAAACGGGAAGAGCTGGAATTCCGAAAGTTGGAATGTGGGTCACTTATGGAAAGTTAGAAGGGTTTTTGGGTTTTTGGAAATTCGACCTATAAGTGTACGAAAAGTACTAAACTTTACTAAATTTAGTTCTAATTTTATATATGGCTAGAATCTTTACATTTTATATGGAATACAGGTTGGAAAGTGGTGTTGATGTATCGAAATGGTTTTAGAAATTCGTACTTATGTGTATGAAAAGTACTAAATGGTACTAAATTTAGTACTATTTGCATTTAATTGAGCGTATAGAGAGGGAATCCAGAAAATAGGATTTTTGATTACTATTGGGGTACAGGATTGAGGTAGTCTTAAAAAATCGTATTTATGTGTACGAAAAGTGCTAAATGGTACTAAATTTGGTGCAAGTTGGATTTATGTGGACAGATAGAGCTGGAGCTTTGAAATAGGGAATTAAACTGCCAACAGTGTAGGATTGAGGTAGTTTAGGAAATTAGTACTTATTGTTACGAAACATGGATTCGTGTGAAGGAAGATATCTGGTATATGGAGGCATCGCACTTACGTGTACTCAATGGTTCTAAATTTGGTACAATTTGATTTAGTTAGTGTGAACGGAAAATTTTTACATATTGGGAACGAAAGATGTGAAATGGAACTTAATTTGGTACAATTTCCGTTTGGCAGATTAAAAATCCTGAAATTTGGATTTTAGGTTACTCTTAGAGTGTAGAATTATTAATTTTGGAAATTTGTACTTATGGGTACTAAATTGTACTAACTATTATAAAATTTGTTTTAGTGTAATATAATTTCTTTCTGTGGAATTAAAGTTACTGTTGGAGTGCAGAATTGAGATATTGAGATACTTTTCACAATTCGTAATTATGTGTACTAAATATGGTACAATTTAGATGTGAGTGAACGCGGATAGAGATGGAAAACTTTAATTTGAAATTAAAATTAAAAATTACGTACTTATGGATACGAAAAGCACTAAATGGTACTAATATGGTACAATTTGTTTTGTTCGAGCGGGCAGAGGGTGAATTCTAAAATTTGGATTTAAAATTATTGTTGAAGTGTTGGATTGATACATGGAGGTAGGTTTGAAAATACGTAATTATGTTTACTAAGTGGTACCAGCTTCCTGAAATTTATTATTAAAATTACTGTTGGAGTGTGGAATTGAAGTTTTAGAAATTTACTTACGTCTACAAAATGTAATAAATGGTACTAAATTTGGTACAATTTGGATGTTGGTGAACGGATAGAGCTGGAATCCTTAACTGTGGACTTTAGGTTATTATTGGAGTGCATGGTAGTTTTGGAAATTCGTACTTATGGGTACGAAAATCACAAAATTGGGTACAATTTGGACTTTGGTGAACTGGAACAAATCGAATCCTGAAAGTTGCAAATTAGGTCAATGTGGAATTGCAGGATTGATATAAGTTTGGAATATGGGTACGAAAAGTACAGGATAATACCAAATCTGGTACAATTAGGTTTTTGGAATTCTTATTAGACAGAGCTGGAATTTTTATATTTTTATATTTATGAGGATTGGAAAATACACTGAGAGGGATTATTTAAAAAACTATCTCGTATGTGGAGGCGAACCTGAAAAGTGTATCAGTATTGATAATTTTTGTTAGGGATATTTGTTACCCAATGTGATTGCGAAATATTTGGTTGGGGAAAAGAAATTCATTATTTTTTCGTCAAAAATATCGATAAAATCAGAGAAATGATCGAAGTTGACCGGCATGTTAGCAGTCGTAACATCACCCATAAAACTGTTTTAAACCATTTATACAAAGCTGGATTAAAAAAGAAGCACGATGTTTATGTGCCACACTAATTAATAGAAAAATATTGAATATATATAAAATACGATAACCGTGAGCGAAAAAAAAATTGAATTTCCATCTTCGAATCCTTGGCCAAACGGAATGAGATAGACCCATTTCTTAAACGGATGGCGACTGGAGATGAGAAATGGATCACATACTACAACCCTGAGCGAAAAAAAAATCGAATTTCCGTCTGCGAAACCTTTGCCAAACGGAATGAGATAGACCAATTTCTTAAACGCATGGTGACTGGAGATGAGAAATGGATCACATACGATAACCCTGAGCGAAAACGATCGTGGCCAGGACAAAAGGCCTGGAAGGTTCTGCTATGCATTTGGTGGGACTGAAAGGGGATTATTTATTATGATTTGCTTCCATATGGCCAAACGCTATATTCTTAACTCTACTTGAAGATAGCAATTGACCAGAAACGGCCAGAATTGGTCAACAAGAGAAGTTTCGTGTTTCACCAGGGCAACGCTAGGCCACAGTGCCTCGCCAGAAACTTCGGGAGCTTGGTAGGGAAGTTTTAATGCATCCGCCATACAGTCCGAACTTGGCACCAAACGAAATTCATCTTTTTCTTGCATTGTAAAATTTTTTTAAGGGAACCCCTCCCATTCTCAATTTTAATTTTTCAAGATTTTCAATGGGCTGGTAAATCAATACCAATGCTTGTTAAGGTTTGTAACTTTGCACATACATAATTGAAGATTTAAAAAAGAAGAAAAATAATTTACAAAAATTTTTTGTTATTGTTTTGTTGTTGTTTTTTGTAATTAAAGAAAAGTCCTTATTTTTGATGGCGGGCATGATAACTCCTCACTGGAACATCGGAATCCAAAAATTCCAACGGTGTTAGAAAGAGTACATGTCTGGCTCTCGTATGAACTAGGATTATTGACTTCGTTCCAAAATTAACAAAATGGCGGACCTTTGATTTTTTTTTGGAAAATCGCAGATTTTTTACCAAAAACCAAGTTAAAAAATAAAGAAGATCACCGATTGGCTTTATCCTAGTTCATCCGATAGCTATACACTCACAGAGAAACGTGTAAAAATTTCGAATCGATTGGGTTATTAGTTTTTGAGTTATCGTGCCCGCCATTCGCAAAAGAGAAAAACGCGTTTAAAGTTTGAGAAGCCCTTTAGCCGTCAGAGTTCTTGAGATTTTCACTTAAAATTTTGTAGGGACATTCTTGGGTTATTGTAGATTCGAATTAAATAAAAAAAATTACGCCGAGAATGGGGGGGTCCCCTTAATGATAAAAAAATTGGTATCTCGGGAGGATTGTGAAAATCGACCACTAGAGTTTTTTTTTACAAATAGAGAGCAGGACTTCTATGAGAGAGGCATTATGGAGTTACCTTTAAAATGACAACAGAACGGTGCATATTTCATAAAAAATATAATGGATTTATTTTTCCCCAACCTAATATCAAATTGCATCCAATTCGTTTATATATTTCATAGAATCGGACATGATTGTTTCGATGTGTTACGAACGGAATGACAACCTTATTAATATATCCTCTATAAAACGACCTATGCCTGCTTGAGGTCTATTCAAGAAAAAAGAAATCTGCCAATAAAAAAATTAAATAGGATTTGTTAATATTTGCTCACATAAAAAGTGTGCCACAAAATACATTTCATTATACAAAATTATTATTTTCGAAAACATTCAATTATTTCATCAACTAACAACAAAAAAAATCAAAACTCAATCAACCATAGTCACAACAATAGCAACAAGTTTGTAACCCAAACAACAACGAAAAAAATTGAAAACCGCAACAATCAATTCAATCAAAAGACTTGTAATTGAATTGTTGGTAAACAACACAAAAACCAAGAGGCCAAATAGATCAATTCGTTTTAAACCACAGATCCGCATCATGATTGTGACAAATTGTATTACACCTCTTTTGTTTTTTTTTTTTTTTTGTAGACCTATGGCCACCTCTTCCACCCGCCAGCCGCTGAAGCCCCCCACCACAAGGAGGAGAAACAAGATTTGAATAAAATTCCCGGAGTGCCAGGTGTTGACTATCCCGTTTATCACGAGGTACCCCATACCTCGTTCTCTTGTGCCCATGTTCCGGCCGTACCCGGTATGTATGCCAATGTTGAGACTGGCTGTCAAGCTTATCACGTCTGTCACGATGGTCGCGAAGGACATCAGGGAGCATCGTTTTTGTGTACCAACGGTACCATTTTTAATCAGAAAGAATTTGCCTGCGATTGGTGGTACAACGTGAAATGTGAAGAGGCTGTTAATTACTATCAGTAAGTCTGCCTGCAAGCATTGGATTGGATCATTTTGAATTGGAATTGATTTTGTTGTTGTCATTTTTCTTTTCAGTTTGAATGCTGATCCTGAACACAATCCGTATACACCAAAAAAGAAAATCATTGAAGAGGAACATTTGGCACCCGTTGATCCCCATCATGGTCATGGTTTTCTAATTCATGCTTAAATTCTGTAATCGAAATGAAGATGAGGGAATATACTATATCCTCTTGAATTTTGTTCTACTCTACATTGTTGTTATTTTTTGTTTCATCATGTCATTGTCAAAATTCAATTCACTTATTCATTACATTTTGCTGTAAATATATTTTTTTTTTCGAAAATCAATTCACTTCATTCATACAAGTATTTTATTGTAAATAGTTTTTGGAAAATAAAGGAAGTATTAGAAAACAATTAAATTGTGTCAAATATCCATTATAACAGAATTTTGAAGAAACGGCTGCAAAGTCCACCGTCCATAAAATGCTGTGTCAAGATGTATATATGGGCTATAGTTCGGTGCCCACAATAAACTATATAATTAGATGAGGAAAATTAGATGAATGCAACTCTGTTGTTGTTGCAACAAGTTCAGAAAATTCTTTCCTGAACATATTGATAGAAAAATAGAACAAGGAAATGGAAAATATATTAGTTAGGAATTAGGATTTGAATAGGGTAGCCGGAGAAATTGTGCCACTTTTATTGGCTTTAGCCATAAGTCTATGGGCAATAGACTTATAGGTTCGGGCGCACAATTGAATAAATGGTCAGACATGAAAGACACCTATTTAAGATTCCGGGGACAATCATCTCTTGATACGAATTGAGATTCCGGGGACAATCATCTCTTGATACGAATTGAGAACATTACTGTACCCGGATCTTAGTTTTGCCAGAATCGAACGTGTTTGCCTAAGAAGAAGCCGCTCGCTGTTCGAAATTGCAGGAGGATGTTGGAGTAGGACTTTAATACATCTGTGGCCATTTATGGCTTCGGAGATCGCCAATTGATGCACAGATTTCATTGCATTCGCTATCGACAATCTGTTGACGTCCGATGGAATGACGTCTTGGATGCCTTCACGGTGGCTCTGCCATCAATGTGTGATTGTTGGAATGATATCATGGCAGCAGGAACTGTCTAGTCAGCAACACATGTTGTTTGACTGATAGGATCCTGGTCTCCTCATGGTGGTAATCGAAGATAGTCATCGGGACAAAGCCGCTTGCAATTCGAAGTGAATTATTTTGTGTAGTTTCCAAGGATCGCCATTGTGTGTCGCTAAGGAAAGAAGTGCAGACTGGGACAGCATAATTAAGGATGGAACGACCAATGACCTTGTATGTCGTTACCATCGTTTCTCTATCCTTGCCCCAGGAGGCGTCAGCCAAAGCAACTCTGTAGTGATGTCTAATGCGATATGAACATCAGACGTATTTTATGATAAAACAAAGGAAATTTTTGAGATTTTAGGCTTTTTGGTAAAGAATACCATTTCGGGAATTTGACCTCAAGACCATTCTCTAGGACGAATTTTTATAGAATTTCCAAAACACCTTACGTATATCTGCTATTGAAGGAAGACATTTTGCTACTTAACGAGGGCCTGTGAATTTGAGTGCGGAATGGATAGAATCCAACCGCTAATCATTAAAAGCTCCTGCAATATCGAAAAATGTTGCCCAGGGGAAATTATCATGGCGGACATGCCCAAAAAATCTAAATCAAGTGACATTAATACTTGACAGCTGAGTTTTGTCGCTCGACTGCATCTCGACCGCTTTGCTCCTCCTCCAACTAGTCCAGTTAGTATAGGAGATATATGACGTAGACTAATAGTAGACAGACGATAAAATTCTTAATTCAAAAAGTTCAAATTTTTATGTTTTGTTAATGCACAAAATCAAACTGAATTTATCTGCAATTTCAATGGCAATGTTCTTGTCAAATTTATTTATATTTTGTGTAGGCAAATTTCCATTGGGGGCTAAGACTTGATAGGTCATAATCCCGAAAAATTCAAATATACAAACAATTGTTTTGAAGCAAAAAACTGTTTCGTAAATGAATTTCAATAAGTTGATATTTTGTGTAGGTCCACTAAGACTTGATAGGTCATTTCATATACGATGAATTTCGTCCATTCTTATAATTGCAGCTCGTGTTAGTTAAGCGAAGGCTTAACAAATCGCAATTTTGTAAAATTTTATTTTTATAATTGCAGCTCGTGTTAGTTAAGCGAAGGCTTAACAAATCGCAATGGAGAGAGTGTTAATTCGTTCACTGTTTTCTCAAAGACCTCAGGTGTTTTTAGGTCAAATAGACCAACGGTGCGGATACCAACACATTATATTGCTTGCAGGTAACATCCTGGCCTCTCATGAGGTGATCGATGCTCTTCACCTGGACACAACCCACTGCAATTCGGAGTCCATTACTTTGTGTCGTGTTTTTAAGGATATCCACTGTTTATCGCAAAGGAAGGAAGATTGGGACGACCGATTGACTTAGATGTCGTTACGAACGTTTCATTATCTTTGCCACAGGAGGTACCAACCAGAGTTTTTTCAGCATGTGGTTGATATAATTAGTCTGCGAGGAGAAATGAAGGAGGTTATTAAAAGGCTTCTTCCGAGACAATCACGTTCCATTCTGACACGACTAAGATCCGCATATAGAAATTTTCTTAATTCTTATTGAACCAAAATCCTTAATAGATGTCCTTCCTGCCAGCAAAGCTCTCCATCCTAACCGACTAATCCTCGTCCCATAGACTTCTGGAAAGTCAATAAAGGAAGCACACTTTCTCACACGAATTTTCCTTTATGATGTCAAAGAAAATAATAAAATCTAGAAGATTCTCGCAGTGTTGGAACAGACAGTTAATTTTTAAGATATATAATCTGTTGTCAATCTACTAAATATTTTGATAATGAAGCTACATATTTAAACGAAATTGTGGATGGACATACAAAAAGCATCGACTTTTGTTATCAGCATGTGTTTTTCCCACTGTGCATGTGTTTTCCCACTGTGTGGCGCTAAATGAGTTAAAAACATCTCCTAAAGTCAACCTATAAATCCCTAAAACATATGATTTTCTCTCTTGGATATAAACAAAAAACATTTGTTTGAATTGTGACCAAGAAAACAAAACCCAGGACCCCTCTTAGTAATGACCACCAGGAAAATTGCCCCAAAATCCTTGTTAAATGAATTAAAAGAAAAATGGCAACAATTACAAACGGTTCCCAATATCTTTGCCTATCGTCTAAATGTGACGGAGAGTAAAATTCTCCCAGGAGAATATGGTTTTTATTCTGAGGTAAGAAGGACTTAATAACCACACTTCCAATATTAAAAATTAACAATGAATTTCAATAATAGTTTAATCCCGAACGAACGGCCTTGCGTAGAGCACCACAAACAATTATATCCTTGGATCCGGTATTTAACGAAGAGAAATTCAATTTTAAGAAAATTAAACCCGAAGAATGTCTAATGAAGGTGGAGTATGAGGGCAGTAAGATTTCCATGATTATTAACAATAGCCCCTTGACACTATATCACACACTTATTTGCCCCGATGTTCATATGGGTTTACCGCAACGTATTTGTGAGAGAGCTCTACGATTTTGTGTTGCCTTCCTTGAGGATCTTATGGAAAACGATGAAAGGAATTTTCGTATTGGTTACAATAGTCCCGGAGCATTGGCATCGGTCAATCATTTGCACTTGCATTTAATGTACATTGAAAAGGACTTGTATATTGATCGGGTGGTAAGTTGAAATTTGAATTTATAATTTCAATAACAAAAAAAGGATATGTAGTTCAAAAACCGTGGTACATTTGTAACCATCCAAATTTAGCGGTTGTTAAATCCCATTTTGTCAAATTCACCATTATTTAACGAAAAAATACTAAACCTACGCTTGTTTTAATTTTCATTTTCAGAACCTAGAACTTCTCAGCCAACCAGATGTATTCCGTCTTGCACCCAATATGCCCACAGAGGCAATATGTTTTCAAATAAAACCCAGCGATTCCGATTCAGCAAAACTTAAAACAGTACAAAAATTAAATAAATTCCTACAATGGTTGTGTACAAATAATATGCCACATAATTTATTTTTAACACCGGAAAGAAATCCTCAGCACAAGGAAAAACCCTTAAAAATATTTGTTTTTGTACGACAAGAATATTGTATTGTTAAAAATCTCAATACCTATAATATAGGATTTTGTGAGCTGGCTGGATATGTACCAGTGGGCGGTAAGTGTAAAATCATAATATTTCAATAAATAAAATAAATTGTTTTTTTTTTCTGTTTTTTTTAGCAAAACAATTCTATGAACAATTGAACGAAAAGGAAATAATCCAAAAAATTAATCAAGAAACAGGCAGTGTTTTTAGTAAAATATATAATTATTTTATAAATGTCAATTAGTTATATTTATTCATACATACTATTTTAAGTATAAGTACAAAAATAGTAAAATTATTAGTGATGTTTTTTGTCATTCTTGTGGTTATGATTTACTTTCGGCAAATCCTTTACCCAGACCAGCTTTACTAATAACTTTAGTATTGGCAGTTATACGATATTCTATCACCTTGTCACCACCTTGATATTTCAGCAATTTTATTAAATTATCTAAACTATCGGCGGCTATGGTTTCGTGTATTTTCTTAAAGAATTGCATTAAATGATGTAAATTGTGGCTGTAAAATAAAAATAAAGAAAATTAATTTAAAGGAAAAAAATATGATAGATAATTATTGTACTTACATCATTAGTAGTATGGGTCCCAAAAGTTCCGACGTTTTATATAAATGATGAATATAGGCACGATTATGTTTTTGGCAAGCCAAACATAAACAATCCTTTAGTAAAGGTGTAAAGTCTTCTTTTAAGCTGTAATTTTATTTTTAGAATGTTTAATATACCCATATATATGTATATAATGATTTATTTTTATGGTTAATTAGAAAATGAAAATGCGAATTGTTATGAGACATGGAATGAAATATTTGAGATAAAAATCGATCTTGTGTTTAGAAAAGTTTGTGTCCCTTGTTATAGAAACGCATTCTACGAAATATTTATCGAATATCCCATAGAGTATATATTATTGGACAGAATAAAATTCTACATCGATTTACCAAAATAAATCTGTCTGTTAAAATAAAAATAGAGCTTCCAAAATTTTAGCTAGTGCTTTGCTACAACCCCATATAAAGTATCTTCAGATTTTATTTGAGTATGCTGGACTCATAATCATAAGATAGAGTGCATTCCGAAATAATAGTCACAGACCCTTTAGAATATATACAAATTGTTGATCAGAATAAAATTCTATGTCGATTTAGCCCTGTTGGAATGACGATAAAGATCGCAATAATTAAGATGGAAACCTGATATTGCACAGGTACTGCTAGCACATTTATGATGTTTGGTATTGAAAATGAGATATATCGGTTCACGTTTTGGTATAGCCCCTTAATTATTCCGTATTTTGGGGTTATCGCACACGGTTTTTAACCGAATTAGATGCAATTTAGTATTTTTGATTATCAATGTATAGCAAACCTCTCCAATAAAAATTATCAGCTCCCGGGTGATTTCCGACATAACAAATTTCACACTTCCGAGTGATATCAAGCGTTGGCTTGTCAACGGCACATTTCCAATTATTTAGCCACCATCACCAATTTCTTCCCGGAGAGCAATCCAAAATTATCCACTGCAAAGGCTACTGTGTCACTTTTCACTGGACGCTAGAAGTCAATTTAGAACTTGACATTTTCATTGAAGATAGGCGCATGGTCTTCGATAACCTCCTTTATTTAACCTCAATTAGAAGGTAAAAGCTAGGAATAATGTTATGAAAGCTTTGGTTGACACCTCCTGGGGCAAGCACAAAGAAATGTTAGTAACTACATAGAAGGTCATAGGTCGCCCGATTTAATTATGCTGCCCCAGACTGGACTTATTTCCTTAGCGATACACAATGGATATCCTTGCAAAGAACACAAAATAATGTGCAGATGACGAGCATCGATCGCCTCGTCATGAGGAGACCAGAATGATGTCGGTCAAGAAACAAAATGTGTTGTTCACTAGACAGTTCCTACTATCAGCCGTGTCATCACAAACATCGCTCAGTTAAGGCCGATCAACCTCCACGACACATGCATCAGGACTTTAGGTACTATTTTAAAGGCATTCAAGACACAATTTCATCAGATCGTCGATAGAGAACACTATGAAATCTATGCATCAATAGGGGGTCTCCGAAGCCATAAATGGCTAAAGATTTATTAAATCCTCAGTGAGAGCCTTCTTCCTTAGCAAACCCGTTCCATTTTGGAACAATTAAGGGCCGTATTTTGCAATATTCTCAATCCTCAATCGAATGGTTCCCGGAATCCTAAATTGCACAACCCTCGAGACACACATCACCTATTTAATTGTCCATACAACAACAAATTTACTTCGCATAGACTTATGGCTAAAGTCAATTTCTGTAATTTGGTACTCCAGGTTATTTGTTGGTAAAAAAACTTATTCGCTGAACTTATTTAATATAGGTCTGAAATTTTATCTTGTTATGTTCGAATATTTCTATCTAAACGCACTTCTCTCTCCAGGTTGTGAATATTCCTCCATAAGTTCTGGATTGTGGGAAGTCGATAGCATCCTAGATAAGATTTTGATAAGTTTATGTACGCTAACGAATTTTCCAAAGACTGCAAGTTTATCACATTGTTCCTACCTCTAATATAGCAAATATGGCTTAAGGCAAGTTTAGGGGCTCCACCCACATTGCCTTTGTGAAATTAGTAAAACGGCCGTTTTAACCAAGATATGCTCCGAACTTTCAAGGCCCATATCTCGGGAGGTATGCATTTCTCCCACATAAAATATATATCATTGCGATCAGAGTGGAGCATCTAAACTAGACTTGTTCCGCAAATATAAATGGATTGCGCAGAGGGAAACTTTTGAAATTTGAAATCGAAAAAATTTTAATTTTATAAGATTCTTGCTGATTTATCAAAAATCTACATTTTTCACTGAGATGATGACGGTCTACCAAAACTGAGATGCATGAGACAATAGAGAATGAATGAATTATGTACAAACGAATAACTTCACTTACCACTCATCGGTTACATCAATAAATGGTGTTTCACTACGATTTAACGTCTCCTCTTCCCAGCTAAACGATAAGGCCTTAAAGTTTACAGCAGCACAATAAGCATACGACGAATCGAAGATATCAACACCCATTTTTATTAATTCCAATACTAATAACGGTGTATATGCTCCTGGCAGCATTACAGGTTTACTATCCGCTTGCAGCTCATTGAGACAATGTGTCATTATGGGTAGTAATTGTTCAGAAGTCACCTCCGTTGCACTCAAACCATAATTATGGAAGCCTTCAAAAATATAACCACCACATACTTCGGCACCATTAGCCTTGGCATCTTTAATGGACTGCGACCGATTGAATTTATTATAACCACCAACAATCGGAACGAAGAGACAAGACTTTTTTAATATTTCCGATTTTGAATGTTGTTCATAACAAAATCGCATAAATATTTCCGTACGATCCACCGATTTTTGTATTCTCTTTTTGGCACTGTCAATATTTGTGTCGGCATCATTAAGACCTTGATAAATATCGGGTCGAAATGTTTCCACTAATTCAATATATTTCTCTGGACTTAATGTCTCTTTACCACGTCGTGTAAACAGTGGAACAATATCTTTGTCATTGGAGCCATTGGGCATTTTCTCACATGGATCACGTATCGTCAGCACCGTGGGATAATCTTTGAAACCAACAAAACTACTAACACCACCTTTATATACAGACAATGCCTCTTTCATGTGATCCATGGTAGCCAGGGACATTTGCAAAACGTGACAATCACTGGAAACATGATCGAATACTTCACGCGATAGATAAGGTATACTGCCACCCTAAAATGTGATAAAATATTTAATGTTAATACAGGAATCTATGGAAGCTTGTTATTCAAAAAAGTCCACTTACTTTTGTGGTCTGCAGAAGAAGTGGTGTCTTGAATTGTTTACCGGTTTCTTGTTGCACCAAATGACCCAACCGTCCAGAATTTTTACTCAAGTTTTCAATAACAAACTTCATGTTGCTTATAGAGTTCTTCTTAATCTATCTACTTATGTTGTTTTTTACAAAAACATGCGCTAATACTCAAAAAACATAAATTCTCTATGTGCAATTCCACCGCGTTTTTCTTCGAACAAATGAGCAAAGACTTTTTTTTTTTTTTTTTTCTCGGTTTATTCGTTACTTCTATCTTGTTGCTGTAGATAGAAGAATTATTTGGCCACAAAACGCCACACAAATGCTAGTTTGTTTTACAGCTGATAGTTGATGGAATCAAGAAATTCACCAAGGATGGATAGCTTGTTAAGGCCGTGAATACGGATAAATTCGTCAACTGTGGTAATATTGGAAAGTTCGTTGAATTGATCTCTTTCATTTTTGTATTTTGAACAAACAAATAAGATGTGAGATGGATTTTCATCAATGTTACAGAATTCACACAGTGAAGATGATCTGATATTCATTTTTGCCAATGTGTCAGGACAAAAACAGTGGCCGCTTAAAACTCTGTTCAGTTGTTTGCATTTAGTAGGTGAGCCAGTAAAGATGTGAAACCAAGTTTTTCTTAATACATGTGGAAACATTTTGTAGTAAAGCGAATTGCTGTTGGCTGCTTCATGTTGATATTCTCGGTCCCATTCTTTCCAAAGATTAGAATTGATCATTGCAATCGCATCAGCTATGGGCCAGGCCAAACTCCAGCGGGAACCGATCTCCTTTGCCCTTTTAGCTGCTTGATCGACCATTTCGTTAAGCCTGATGTTGGAGTGCCCAGGAATATAATGAAGCTCAACAAGCCCACCGAAGTCCGCAGCCAGTGACCAGACTCTGTGTACTAAATAATTCCGATGATTGCCAGATGATATTGATTGTAAAGCACTTAAACTATCCGAAAATATAGCCACTTGAAGAAAGTTGTTATTTATAGCAAACTCGAGTGCCTTAATAATTGCCATTAGTTCCGCGGACATAGAGGAAAGCGGTTTTTCATCATAAAACGCAAATACGGTTCCAGATCCTTTGTGAATGAATGCAGCGCCAGTCCAATTGTCCATTACCGAACCGTCAGTGAAGAGTACGTCAAAATTATTTTTTTCAACTTCAGAAAGTTTTTTGTTGAATAAAGATGATATGATTTCTTGATTGGCAGACGCTTTTTTGTTGACAGCTCCACAAAAAAAATCCGTGCGCACTGTGATGTTATTCTTGATGTCAAGTATCTTGGGCGATGGTTGAATATTAGTAAAAATATCCTTGTATTTTTCAAAAACTTTGTAAAGGCTGGTGGATAGAGGCTGCTTGGTTGACAAGAGCATTCTTTTAATAGGTAATTCCAATGCGAAAGATTTAACAAGTTCTTTTGCTGCAGAAAGTTCAAACCGCCATCTAGGAGGAAGCTCAGCAGCCAAATGATAAATAATTGGTATAGGTGTTGACCTAATAAGGCCCAACGATTTTCTTAAGTGAATGTTATAGCATTTTTTCACTTTATTCAAACAAGTTTTTCCTGAATTAGATAGAGCTGCTGAACCATATTCAATTTTGGATCTTACCACACTTTTGTATAAAGTCAGTGCTTTGACTGGATCGATGCCATAATTACATCCACTGAGCGTTCTTAAAAATTGACATTTACGGTTAACATCGACTAGGGTTTTTTCGAAGTGATGCTTGGCCGAATTGTTCGCATCAACGAACAAACCCAAGTATTTGATTCTTCGAACCTGGTTTACATGCGTACCATTACAATTTAATGTGAAATCGCGAGGTTTTCTATTAAAATGAATGACGTTGGTTTTTTCAGGATTAAAATGTAGATGAATAGTTGCACACTTCTGATGAAATTCCTCAACTTTTGATTGTAGAGTTGCTCGAGCTGTTTCAAAATCCTTATTATGACACACAATGAAAAAATCATCTGCGAATTGGAAAAGTTTGCAGTTCTCCGAGTTTATTCCGTGTAGATTTGCAGTGTATATATTAAAGAGAATAGGGCTAAGACTACTACCCTGAGCCAGACCATTCACAATTGTAATTTTCTTCCTTCCAAGGCAAAGAAATCTTCTTTTCAGAAAATTAAAAATCCATTCGACAATATGTTCATTGATATCAATCTCAAGCAATTTGCATGCCAAAACTTTAACATTTGTGCAATCGTATGCTTTTTCAACATCAAGACAGCAGCCAAGAACATGATGACCAGAAGACTTCAAAAGTTGAACGTAATTTATTAGATCGTTGATGCACATTGATGTTGAATGGCCAGGCCTGTATGCATAGGTTCTGCTGGGTAAAAAGTTGATACTGTCTATATGATTCTGAATATGAGTCTTGATTCCAGATTCTAAAATTTTCAGAGGAACACATAGCAAAGATATAGGTCTATAATTCTCTAATTTAGTTGGATCCTTGCCTTTCTTTGGAATTGGTGCTATTTTAATATATCTCCAACAATCGGGAATTGAACCTTTGGAAAAAATCTCTGCGATAACATAAAACAAGTTCCTTTTACTTTCTTCAGAGAGAGTGTTTATCAGGCGATATGAAATTTTATCTGGTCCTGCTGCCGAGTCCGGGTTTCGTGAATTGAGGAATCTCAAGAAGTCACTATAAGTAAAAATGGGGGTTGATTGGATGTTGTCTGAGCTGGTGATGATTGTGTAGCTACTATTGAAATTCGTAGTGATTGGTGATGTTGTAATTAAAGAATTGCTGAGATAGACTGATGATGACGGCGAGTTATTGTCAGAGTTGGTGTTAGAAAGATTAGGTACATGTTGTGTGTGGTCGCTGCTGCGAATGGTGTTTGATCTGCTATCAAGTACAGAAATTGAAGGCGATCTTATTGGGGTGTTGCTGTTACTCGTGTTGGAGAAAAAAGGTTCAGGTTCATTATCAGAGTTATTGTTACTATTTGTATGGCTGGCAATTATATTTAAGTATTTTTCCTGATTTTCTTCGGTCCATGATTGATTGATGTTTTTTTCCAGTTTATAATTTTTTAAATTTTTTGTAAGTTTCCAAAATTGACGAGAAGATGGCGCTGTAGATACCTGTTCAATAAAACTGCTGAAATTATCTTTTTTCTGTTTCTCAGTAGCTTTTTTAAGTTTATCTTCTGCCTCATAGAACAGTGTGAGATCCGTGAGGAGACGTGTTCTGTAATATTTGCTACGAGCTGCATTTCGTAACCTAAAAAGCCGTTCAATTTCATCAGACCACCATTTCTTGGGAGCATAATTATTTTCCGGCTGAATTTGAATTGTATTATTCTTAATTATTGATGCAACATCAGAGTTAAAACTTTCGATTGAATTGCCAATCCTTAATTGTGAGAGTTCTTCCAAGACTTTTTTGTGACGTATACGATACGATTTCTTAAATTTGATGGCAGACGGATGTAGTTCAATAATTATTGGAAGGTGGTTGCTGTTGGTCAATTTAGTATTAAGAACCTTCCACGATGGATTTTGGAGAAAATTTTTACAAAATGTGACATCAATTGCTGAGTTATAATCATTAAGTCGAAAAGTTGGATCTCCATTGTTAATACAAGAAAAATTATGAATCTCCATGCTATCCTCAAGTTGCCTTCCAGCAGCATCTGATGAGAGGTTGCCCCATAAGGTAGACTTGGCGTTAAAGTCACCACCAATGATAGTTGGAAGCGCCAAGTTTGATACTTCAGCAAGTAGGTTGTTGACAGATGATTCAAAGAATGTTGAAGGTGTGCTAGGAGAAAAATAGGCGACAATGAAAGTATAATTCTGTTGTAGATTGATTGTAGTAAGTCCCAGAATCTCAGCATCAGTAGTAAGGTTCAGAAGAGAAAACTTGATATGTTTTTTAATGTATACTCCTACTCCGCCGTAACCATCTGCTCTATTTTTGGAAGCGAAATTATAATTTAGAATGCTGCAAGAAGAGTTATCTTTAATCCATGTTTCGGTAAGGATAGCTATGTCAATATTATGGCGATTTAGAAACAGCTCCAGTAAATTTTTATTGTGAATATTATTTAAACTTTGTATATTTAATTGTAATATTTTCATAGTAAAAAATAAAAGAAATTGAAATTATGTGTTGATCCTTGTCGCGTCCAAGGTACTATCAAAAATCTTATCGTAATCCATTTGGAGTAATTTTTTTTCAATGTTAATACGTACATTGTTTAAGAAGTTGAAATGATCTGCAGACAGATTGTTGGATTCGGATAAAAAACCAGTGACTGTTTTTGAAGTTTCTTCTAGTAATTTTTCTAGTTCAGTAACTTTATTTTTTTCAGCTAGAAGCAGCGCACTACCATTAGGGGCCTGGTATACGGCATCTTCCTCTAATGCCAGACGACGTTGTTCTTCCAGCTTCCTAGCGTTCTCAGCTTCACGTTCACGATTTTTAAAATTTTTCGTTACACTCGAGTAAGATTGATTTGCGTGTACACACCTTGCAGATTCTTGGATATTTCTCGCTTGATTTAAATTCTGCAATTTATTATTCGTGGGCTTAATTGGTAGTGAGGGGAAATTCGTGGTGGTGTCATCATCCAGCAAATAATAACGATTTGAAAAGATTGTGGGATATTTTATTTTGGCTTCTGACACCGATAAATTTTCTAAGGTGGTGACCCTCTTTATGTTGAAAGCTTTAGTTCTTGCCTTGCATGCCCTATCAGTGGGGACATGGTCTCCATTACAATTAGGGCAACGTATTGGAGTCTGGCATGGTGCGGTATCTTCATGAACATGGTAGCATTTTTTACAATTCGGTTGTTTCTGCTTGCAATGTTTATTAACATGGTTGAATCTGTAACAACTATAGCATTGTGCGAATGGAATGTAGTTACGCACACGAAGATCAGCATAACCATAAATTTTAATAAACGTAGGTACAGTTAGTCCTTCAAATAGAATTTTTACTCGCATAGTGGGTACAAATTCATCTTTTTCCTTGCGCAAAACTCTAAAAATTTTTTTAATTGGAATTTCTGAGTAAATATTTTTATACAGCTCTTCAATTGA